GGACCTGGAAGAGAAGGGTGTGTCAGCGGAGTGGACGAAAGCAAGTGGGAGGCGGCCAGCATTAACCTGATCTGTTCCGAAGCAGCCCTGCCCTCGGTCGCCCAAGTGAGCGCAATTGGCATGCCGCGAAAAGAGGGTCTGCGCAAAATAGATCACGCGGTCGACAACCTCTTGTTTATAGACATTCGCCTGTGCCGGCCACAATTTCGCCTTGACCAACGCCAGGAGCGTTGACATGAAGAAGTACTCCTTTGCTCCCTTGACCACAAGAAGAAGCCGCGTCTCAACAGAGGCTAAGACCATCTCGAGCAACGAGACGAGGGATTCGGGAAGCCCGGGTAGCGTGTGAGTGAGGAAGGTAGGAGAAGATGCTGTGAGTAAACGTTAGTAATGACATCGAGCCAACCTCTTGAAATTCGCAAATGACGGGTCACTCACCGTGGGCGCTACTCCCCGCGTGCAATATCTGACATACTGTACAGAATGCCTGCATGGTCCACTCCCCAAAATTACAGAGAGACAATTGTTTCGACGTTTCATGAAGGCGCTTTTGATTGGAAAGGATGAGAGTGGCAACCTCTAGGCGTGATCGGGCAGAGGGTGCAAAGAGTGGCTCCCGTGGGGCTTCGATTGCGAAGGGGGTATGAACGGAGAGAAGACTGTGAGCGATTTTCGTTTCCAGGAGCGATTTGAGTAGAGTGACTTTGTTTCTGCTCTGATAGTCGTCATTCTCTGCAGTCGGCCAAGCCGGGATCTTCTGAAGATATCTCCCGAGCTCCCAGTCCAGACGTTGAATCTCCTCGTAGCGGCAGCTGATCCGGGGAGAATGCATCAGAGCGCACGCTTTAAGGCGCAATGGGAGTGATTGCGTGAGGACTGCCTGGAAGGACGAATCGGTGATTTCATGGAGCGGCCTCTCTCCGGGAAGCTCTGTACTGGTCTCCTGAATTTCATTGTCGTTGATGTTCGAGGCCGGAGCTGTATCATAGTCCGATTCTTGAACCGAGGGGGGCATTCCCCGTTCAAGGGCAACCTGAAGGTCGAGTTCGACAATGGTCGTCCAGATTCGTCTGCGCATCTCCTTATTAAAGACGGAGATCTTGGTGTACCGGCTAGGATCGCGGTGATATCCAGCTATCATGGCCTGTTTGACCAGCGTTCCCGTAGCAAGCCAGGCATGGCTCCGTTTCATCCCGAAACTATTTTGGGCAATGATCAGGAGGATCTGTATTCGGAGAGCCGTAATCTCTGGCCGTTTGATATGTGCGTTATCCAGCCACTTTTCGACGTGCAGAACCCACTCGACTGGAGTATAGCACTTGAGGCTAGCTTCGTTCTTCAGCTGGAGAGTATCAAAATCTGCTAGATTCCAAGCGCAGGCAAGAACTAGGAGGAGTTGCACGACAAAGCCAGTTGATACCAAATCGGGATTGTCCTTCTGCGCCCAGAACTCGTCCAGCTCCTTGAGAAACGACGGAACGTGAAGGATGCGATGCGTGGACTCGATACAGGTCAGGTACAAGACTACTAGTTCATCAACTGTTCGACGGGAGGGCAGCATGTCGATGAGCGACTTTGTGTCGGGCACCGGGAACGACTCATTCAACGGCTTTCTTTTCCACAGACCCCGCTTTACCCTTTCCAGGTCGAAGCGCAGTTGTGTAAGGTTCGGACTCGACAGTCGCACCTCCTCCGCAAATGACCTGATGTCTGGGAACTGCCAAAGCATTAACGAGCAAGAAACTCAACGGCATATGGCAGGAACTTACCTGCGCGATCAAGTTGGCAAGTATGCCTGACCCATTGAACCGAGTTTTGGTCTCCTTACCCCGCATCATTATACGCGGCAGGATATCTAGCTGCTGCGAAGGAGATGCAAGCTCGTCGTCATCTTCCAGCGGCTGTGGCTGTGCCTCGTGCCGATTCTCAGGAGGATGCCGGGGCCGCTGCAGCACTTCGGTGTTCACATACGGCTCCTGGTTGACACCCGCCTTGGGGGCTCCGAGAACAGTCTCGAGAAAGCTCCGTTTCTCTTCTCCATGACGGCCATGCGGTGTAGATGGCAGTGGTGGAGGTTGTGACCGAGGCGGCAGACTGCTTATCCCCGAGTCCGGGGTAGTGAGTGCGGGCGCCCGATCGACTCGGGGCATCTGAGCCAGTACTGTGGAACCTCGGTCGGAGAAGACGGGCGATGCAACTGTATTGGGTTGCTGCCACAGAAAGCCATCCTCATAGGTGCATTTGGTAGGGGTTTTGCTCTTCAGACATCGGCCGCATGTGGGATATTCACGATCGCACCGGAGCTTTCTGCTGCGACATTGCGTGCAGGCCATAGTGCGTCTGCGCCTCTTGCGCACGCGTTGCTCTGGTGGTTGGGGCTGCTCCGGGTCTGGAGGCCCCATTTTCTGCTGGATTTCTGTCATGATCGATAATACATTATCGTCATTATTATGTTGAAACCGACGACTTCCAACGATGCTTCATTCTCCTTTGTCATTCTTTTTCCCCTTTCTCGAAACTTACCAGTAGGCAGGCGCAGGCTCGGGGCTTTTCATAGGGAACAAGCGGAAACGGTTCAGCAGCTTACGTGTGTGGCCCACCGGGCTTCTTAACCGAATCGGGCAATCACCCCCGCAATGGTCTCACTTGATTGTCGTATCAGGAGAGAACTGAGGCCTAAGGGTCTCAGGCACCAGATCGTCCTCGGCCGTCCTACTCGATCCGTTCAACTTGGACTGTATCACTGGTCTAACTGGTGATCTAGAGTCTAAGTCTATCTACCTTAGATAAGGGTGGTGCGTCTCTTTTAAACATCGACAAATAAATAACGCCGGAAATCCACCTTAATCAACCACGGAGCGCTACTGTCTCGCGTTGTCCTTTACAGCAATCATACTATACATGGACCTACCTTATTTCAGCCCGTCTATAGCCCTGTCTCACTATTCTCACTCCAGTAATCTCGTTGCCTAAGGGCATCATATTCAAAGAGGGATGATTTCTAAGCTTAGAGTCAGCAAGGCGTACTCCGTAGTCTGCCGAATTTGACAACAAGGCTACGATCTACGAGCGAGTCAGATTGCAAACCTGACAGCAAGCCTTACAGCAAGCCTTTTCCGCCAGCCCTAGTCCCCCGGGCCTCCCGTGTTGAGATGCGTAGGAACGCCGAAGCTGAAGGATCGCTCGGCGCCTCAGCGCTATCAGCCGTGGCTGACGTGAAAGACATCCTGGTTAACTATCCCTCTCGTCTATTATTCCAGTTTCCATTTACATTAGTAAGGCTAAGGTTTCTTAACCACTCTACCATAATCCAATCACCAACTCGTCAATCCTCGAAGTCGATCAAACCCTCCTCTAAGCTGACTCTCCGGATGTACCACTTTGCCCTGCAAAAGGGTGTATTTCACAATGCCTTCGCAATGTTCCGGCCTGACCCGTGCCAGCCAGATCATCTGCTGCTCCTTCTTGCGATAAATCATAACATTAGCCGCGAATTTATGACCCCCGACATGTGAGACGAAGAATATCCCGACACCCCCGGGGCGCTCATCATGTGCATCGCGATATAGGTCAAGAGGACGCAGATGCCGTTCGAGCTCTTTCTTGATTAACGGTGCCGTGATCCCGCAACGGGCATCTCGCCTTTTATGCGAGCATAAAAGCACGACGTAATCATACTCGCACGGTCGTGAAATAAGTCCAGAGTCCGATTGTGAGGTTCCTGCGTCTTGCGGTGTGTCGATGTAGCGGTCAACCAGCTCTCGCACATCCGCGGGCTTCACGCAGTCCACAAACGTAAATGAAGGTAGAATCAGCACAGAATTTCCCTTAATTTCCTTCTCGGTCTCTAGATCCTCCGGCGAGCGGAGATTTGACGCAGATATCATCATTCTCTGGCTCTGTCAGAAGACGATACGTAAAACCCTGGCGAGATACGTACACCTTGTCGCGGCTTGACAGAGTCCAATGCTTCCATCAAACTGCCCTTTTCTTGCGTCACTCTTTCAACCCAGTCTGACTTTCCCGTAGCCACCAGCACGTGTGTATCGAATCGTTTGATGTGTCCGTAGAGCGGCGTCAAGCTCTCGATTTTCACCTTGGACGGAAATTCGACCGTGCAATCGGCGCAATCTTGCTTGCAGTCTGGTCCATCCTTTGTTGGATCAACGGTTGGAAAGATGTACTCTGTGTTGCGCTGACCAAATGATAAAAGTGCTCGTAACATCTTGGTGGGATCTGTGATCGCGATAGGGGTACTCCGTAGATGTTTATGACCACAAAATAGCGAGCTTATCTAACGGTCATCAAATAAATCTAAAGAACACATGCGACAATGGTCAAGGATGGTCTGATTACCACTCCTACTATAAATACCTTGAAATGCGTCAACTCCGAGCTGCATAAGACCGAAAATCCCGAGCTGGCGTTATCCCCGAAAGTTGCTGCCTCAAAGACCAGCTTCGGGCCAGAATATGTTCTCGGTCTGGAGATGCCCAATCACCGGTATTACTAGTAGTCATGGTGCATTTGACAGCATATAACTTATGTCGCATGTAGTTCAATATCTCTGCGAAATGCAAGGCGACTCGAGTACCTTACTGCGCTGTGACTGAGTACCTTTCAATACAGCTATCTCTGCTTCAGTATTTGCTAATTCACCTCTCAGTATGCACCAGCTACGCAGCCACAAAGGCACAATCAAATAAAGCAAGTTATCCCTAAATCCCAATTTACCTCAATTGCCTCAAGAGAACGCATGAGGATAACCCTCGAAAACTGCCCTATGCCCTATAATTTCCCGTTGAGGCTATCAGGTGACCGTTCAGTGGTAGTAACGCGCTACGTCACCCGCGCTTTCAAACCCGCGTTAATTGATTCGCGACCGCGTCAAGGGGCGGACGATTTGCCGTTCAGAAGAAATATGACTGAACACGTTGATATCTATTCTAGATATCCGTCATCGCGAAGATTTGATAGTCAATTGACACTCGAAATGAAAAATGGCAAGTGTCGCCATTTCTGAGATCGTGACTGAATCTGCCAATTTGCGCGCGGAATTGAAAGAGTGGGAGAGGGCATTTGCAGCGCAAAATGGTGGGAGGAAAGCAGAACGGAATGATATCAAGAAGGTTCCTGAGATCGGTATGATAGTCTACCTTTCAAGTTTAGGTAGGGGAAACTGACACTGCGTTATCATGACACTGCGTTATCAACAGCTGCCAAATACAAAGAGTACTCTCGACTGAAAGCACTCGAATCATCCTCGGCAAACCCAGACGACCCAAAGTCTGTCCAGCTAGAAGAACGGCCTAAAAAGCGCAAGCACACATCTAAGGACGGCCCGGATGCTACTCAGAATGCATCTACGCCACGAAAAACCGCCAAAGGTGCTTTCGAGACGCCGTCTAAGAATCGAATCTCGAATTCCCATCCTTCCCAGGTCGATCCTTATATCTCGCCTACGGCGTTGCGCAGACTCTTCAGTCCATCAACGCACCGTACACCGCTAAAAACAGCCATTGGTCCTACCCCTCAACGCGACGGAAAGGCTCTAGGTCTTTTCGACCTCTTGTCAGAATCTGGCGGAAGCACAGCAACGCCCTCAGCAGATCGCGTGGCAAGCGTACGTACCGCAAATGTCCAGACCCCGTCGAAACGAAAGACCATGGACACAATCATGGAAGAAGACGAAGACGGAGCAGAGGAGAGCCCAAGGGCCGGACGGACCCCCGCATCATCCGGGAAAAAGTGGATGCTGTCAGCGCTATTCGCGACCCCGACTACGCTGCGCTATTCCGCAATGGTTGAGGATCACAATCATATTACTGAGAGGAACCTGGGTCCTCCGACCAATCCCGAGGGCACCGCCAACGACGCGACCGGGTCCGAGACCCCGTCTTTCCTGCGACGGTCAAACTCAGCACGATACGCTACCTCTCACTCTGCCAATCCCAACGGCCTGAGTCCGATCGCTGTGCGCAAACCGCCACAATTCGTCGGAAAGGGTCTCTCTGCGCTCGTGCAAGGTCTGCGCGACATGGAAGAAGAACGCCTGGAAGACGAATTGGACGTCCTCCGCGAGATTGAGGCGGAGCAGGCAGCGCTGAACGTCGAAGTCGCTGATAGCCAGGCGCCCGCTGAAAACATCGGCCGGCCCTGGAAAAAGAAGGGGCAGAAACGTACAACGCGCAGGGTGCGCATGAAACCCGTCATCTCGAAGCCGCCCTCAAAGCCGCAGTCGACGTCGGACGATGAAAGCGAAAACCAGGCTGCTGGTGAGGATCCCGCGGAGCTTGCAGCAGTTCCCGAAACACAACAGCCGAGCACTCTCGACGCAGCCTTTGGTGAAAATCAAGATGAGGACTTTGACGACGAAGATGATCAAGTCTCCCTTCACACCATGTCGGAGCCAGACCTTGATTCCGATCCTGACTATGGGGATGATATCAAACCTGTTACTAAGAGCAAAAGCTTCTCGGAGAAGATGAAAGAAGCTATCGGGGTTGTCCAGCCACAGCCAGCAAAACGCCCGGCGAAGCCTACCCAGCCGGTGGTGGAAGAAGAGCAGACCAAGAAGGTTCGTGCGCGCAAGGTGAACCCGGAGGCGCACGCAAACTACCGCTCTTTGAAGATTCGAAACAAGAACAGTAAAGGCCGGGGCGCTGGACGCTTTCGCAGGAGATAGGCGGCGGGGAATTGGCCACGCAAGGTCTGCATCTACAGTACTCACGAGGAATGACTACAACACATAAGCATTGAAGATACCATTTGGCCATATATGCATTAGTCTATGTTTATAGCGTTATTCTATTTGGCATGCTTCATTATTCCGTAACATAAGTGATCTTCAAGCGCTTCCGCGAATTAGTCAGGAATATATCTGTCCCGTGCATATTGTAGCCGTCTCGCTTGCGCCAAGGCATCTCTCGATCTACCTGGTGGTTGGTACCCCCGGGGACGATGGGGTTTTGATACTCTCCCGCGAAATGAGCGTTGTGCGCCTCGGTAGACCGGAGTCGCGGTCCGATCAGAGACCTCGGAGTCTCCACTAGCTGGGCGAGCCAAAGGGCCACCAGGAGTACTATCCTCGTACTGAACATGGCGATCCCAATCCTCCAGAGACGTATAAGGACTCCGCAACCAGGCCTGCAACTCATGCAAGAACAAGCGCGCATTGTCTCTTCCTAGGAAATCGCGCAAGAGCTCTTCCGCCTGCCCCGCACTGCCCTTGATATCAACAGTGCGGAGAATCGCAATAACGTACTCGAGTAAAAACTCGGCATTATTCCCTCGTCGGCTCTCAAGGCGCTGCTGACCAGGCCGAGCCACCCGACTAGGGCCTGGTTCAGCCTGCCCTTCCGGATTCAAGAAAGCAAACACCCGAAGCTCGCGCCGGATCCATTTCCGTGCCCGAGAGACCAGCTCCTCGTCACGATTGAACGATTCTGGTGATAGTTCGCGGTACTGGGAGAGTCGGTTCGAGCCGACTCTTAGAGAGTAAAGCTGATGACGGTAGACATATTGCCGCCGTATAATGGGATCGTCCGGCTCTCGAGGTCGTGGGCTTTCTGCGGGGCGCCGTCGGTGGCGAGGACCACGGGGTAACAGCCCTCGGTGTTGAGGAGGTATAGAGACGGGCGCATTGGCAGCGGATGGAGGAACCGGAGGTAGTTTGTAAAACTTCGGTCCTTGGGGGTTCTCAAGCTCGTACTTGACAGTGTGAACATCACTCTTGCCTAGGAAGGTCAGTATAAAGCGAGGGTCGATTGCAGAGATAGGGAGGCATACATAACGGACAGTTGCGGCGCTGTTCCAGCCAGCTCACGATACATAAAAAGTCAAAATTTGCATGTGCGCAAGGCACCGTGACAGCTGGTTCTGTGATAGCTTCCAGGCAGATGACGCACGGGTTAGCCACCTCGTCGCCATTGTCCTCTTGCGCTACTTCTTGGAGCGTCTTCTGCAGGATCTCCTGTCGCACGTCGACATCACCAGACATCAGACATTAGAATGATTTTCAAATCAAGGGAATCGATCTCTGAGTTTTGGTGAGATGAATGTCATCGGCGAAGAAAGAGCCGCTCAGTTGATACTGCTACTCCGGGCGGAGGTCACGTTGTGGCGGGAAAAACCAAAACCTGCGGAGAGTCGACTTCCTTGAGATTCACCAACGCAACTCGCAACGCTGGAACGCTGGAGCCATGGTGGAAAAATGATGAGGTCTGCCAAATCTGCCATCGCTGAAAATTACTTTGCTCCTCTTAGCTCTGCCGCAAGCATGGCACGAGGGAGAGCCAATGGAAATGGCTTCTTGAACCATGCGAATGGCAATCAACTTATCTCACGTACCATAACAGGGTTGAAGCGCTGGTCCATCATCAATAAAGATTTACCAGGTGGGAGATTTGTTTTCACCTGGGCTAAATTTCTTGAACTCCTCTACTAACTCTCTCCATACAACAGCGGTTTCGCAGGTAAGAGCTATTCATGTTTACGACTTCGACAACACCTGTGAGAGCTCCCGTTCGCAGTTGCCTCTGTATATCGAAGCTCATATTGTGCAGTATTCCTGAGTCCCTTGCCGAATCCGCAACTTTGGAATGGCCCGACGATCGGATTTCTACAAAGTCTTGAAAGCTTCACAAACGGAGGATGGTGGCACGACCCGGCATTGCTCGCAGCTACAGGAGAAGGCATGGAAAAGGAGGAGCCACGAGCTTGGGATGGCTGGTGGAATGAACAGATTGTGTGACTTGAAATGTCTTGGATGGTTTGATATGGTTCGCTGACTGGCCGCAGGTACGGCTGGTCAAGCTGAGTATGGAGCAGAAGGACGCCCTCACAGTACTTCTGACGGGCCGAAGTGAGAATGGCTTCGCGGATATTATTCGGCGCATGGTGGACAGCAGAAAGCTGGAATTTGACCTCATCTGTCTCAAGCCTGAAGTGGGACCCAACAGCGAACGCTTTTCAACCACCATGGAGTTCAAGCAGACCTTCCTTCAAGACCTCGTTCTCACTTATGAGCAGGCCGACGAGATTAGGGTCTATGAAGATCGAGTGAAACAGTAAGCCTTCTGTCAGACGTCCTTGCCTCAGAGATTACTCATTCGTTCCTAGTGTCAAGGGCTTCCGAGACTTCTTCGAGGATTTGAACAGGTCGCTGCAGGTTGTGCCAGCACCGCGGAAGCCGATCAATGCAGAGGTGATCCAGGTCGCGGAAGGATGCACCTTCCTCTCCCCTGTAGTTGAAACTGCCGAGGTACAGCGTATGATCAATTCCCACAATAAGTCAATCCGCCAAGCTACATCGAATGCGACTCGGTCGCCATATGGTCGTCTGCGCATCAAGCGCACCATCTTCTACACTGGATATCTCATATCTAACGCAGACTCGAATCGGTTGATCAGCCAACTACTGACCCCGCTTCTGCCCTCTGGGCTTGCTGAATCCAATGATCTGAAATATATGGCTAATAGTATCCTCATTACCCCGCGCCCTGCCCCTCGATCTATTCTGAACAAGGTCGGCGGCATTGGCAAGAAGCTCACCTGGCAGGTCACTGGGACCGCCGTCTTTGAGAACAAGGTGTGGGCTGCTCGAGTGGCCCCTGTTCCCGCGACAGAGAAGTACTACACAGAGAATCCACTGCCCGTGATAGTTCTAGCTGTGCGCAAAGGCGCGCGTCCTATTGATGCAGGCAAGATTCAGAACTGGCATCCTGTACCAGCAGAGAAAGCTTTGACTTTTGAAACTGTCGTCGGTGAGAAAGTTGTTTTGCGTGTGGAAGAAGAGAATCCCCATGAGGGCGAATGGGAGAGTCAGTTCTTGAACAAGAACCGCAAGAGACGCCATCAGCAAGAACGTGATCAGGACATCCTGTATCCGCAATCCAGTCAGAATGATGAGCCGCTATCCCAGACGAGGCCACAGCCATACTATAATTCCCGTTATGGTGGGAACAGCCGCCATCATGATGACGGACCGCGACGTGGTGGCTCGCACCGCGGTGGTCGCGGCCGGGGAGGAGCGCCACGTGGTAAGGGCCACTCAAGTCGAGGAGGCGCGCGTGGTCGGGGCCGTGGGCGCGATGGCGGTCCTGCTGGCTATCGATCCTTGGACGATCACGCTGGATATGATGGCGGTTACGAAGACAAGCCTGGACCGGGCGGTGCTGGACCCGTCATGAACTACTAATACTGAGCTGGCGATTAGGGTTTATTTCCATGGGAATTGCTGCATCTTATCTGTCATTGATAACATCCATTGTTCCTGTGGTCGATCTCGGCGTCGGAGTCTTTCTGGGGTGTGAAATGATGCTTTTCAATTGATTGATTCAGCATGGCCGTCTTTTATACTCGCTTTTTTGCCATCCTTTGAGAATCTTAATACCTGACGTCTGGGTCGAAATGCATTCACCAGACATTATGTTGAAGAACACCAGCCATTGCATTTCTCATATTCTCTGACAATTAGCAACTAGATGTAGTCATGACATATATGAAACTTGTCTTTCTCTACCTGTTACATCCTACTGTGTCACATGTTTCTGTCTGTCGGTTTTGGCTGGTCAGTCGCAGCTACCGAGAATCATTGGAATATGCAATTGAAGACCGCTGCAGGAAGCAGACTGCAGAAACAACCATGCATCATTCCATCAGATCATCGGATATTTTGCCTGAAGAGTGGCGTTCTCTTCCTTTCTTTCTTGTTGAATAACTACATAGATATTTATCCAGGATCTGCCTGTCTGAAAAAGCTAAAACCCCCGAGTCTTCAAGAAGGATCAAAGGAAGATCGAAGCGTCCACTACCGTCTCCATGTCTATCCAGACTACTACTCGCTGTCCTCCCCTAAGATCTACTTATCCTTTACAACACCTTCCCCAGATGATCAGACCTTCTCAATGCAACAAACATCCTCGCGCACATTCGGTCCCTGGAATCTAGACCTTTCCTGTTTGTCCAACCTGACTCGTTGCATTTCCGCCGCTTGTGGAATCCACTATATTAGCGCCATGTGGCTAATTAGACCCCTCTTGACTGTTAACCAGACCCAATCTAGGGGAAATGAGTTCATCTCGTTCAGGAACAAGTGTAACCCCAAACTTTGGCTGGAGTCTCAGGGGCCGCACTGACGCCGTACTCGAACCGGTCGATTCTTCGTTGGTCGGCTGTACTGCAGAATCGGGATGTCTGGTGACTCCCTTTCGAGGGTCGAGATGAGTCCTCGGCTAAAGTTGGACTCCCACGATGGCTAGGAGACAAATACGAGTTAATCCTCCATTGCGCTCGGCTTTAATACAGGCCCTTCGCCTTGGGGGCCTTATTCTCGTCGATTTTAGCCCCAGACGGCCAATCAGCATGCTTCCGGACTGAAGTCCCATTCCCTACCGGCTGATTTCCGTTTCCAGGTGACTCCACGGGTTTGTGGGTGATTCCCCTAGTTCTACTTGCGATTTATTCAGAATCTGCAGGGACTTCAAATAAATGGAGCATCCTCGTAACTCTTGCGGGGAGGACTTCTGACAAAGGGCCATTTGTGAGGTGTCGCTTTACTGTCGAACAATACTTCTCCCGAGCAGGAACTGTCGATCAGACGTCTTTCCTATTGCTTCGATACAAGACGATGGTATGAGAATCCATCAATCAACATGATAAAAACGATGATGCGTTCCTTCATCCTTGGGAGTATTGTCCCTACTGTGCTCGGACTCGTAGCGCAGCATGTTTCTGTGGCCAACGAGAAGACTTCTCTCACGCTCCTCTATCAGAACAATCTGAATGCATCGGACGCCTCAAACCACATCAGTGCAATCCTACTTGACCCAATGCACCAGCACGATGTGCGTGAAGCATGTCGGCAATTTGGAGAGACGCTGATCTCCCAAACAAGCCTTCGAGACCACAAAGAGGATTTCAAGCATCTGTTTTCATGGCTTGCACACACAGGAAAAACAAAAGCGGACGCACACTTTTATATTCGTGAAGGCATGCTGTCTGTTCCCAAAGACTCGGATGATTTTGCTGTCTCCAGCTTTCCACGTCGGAATGCAAGGCTTCCCGTTTTGTGCACCCAGACCGGCAACGATTTCGTGATTGAGGACGCAGACAGTCGTCTGAAGCAGCTGCGAGTAATGTCCGAAGGCAACTCGTATATTGGCTTCCGTGATCAAAAGTCGTTTCGCTTCTTAGGTATTCCGTATGCCGACCCTCCTCGGCGCTTCAAGCACGCAACACCCTATTCGCACAGAGAGAAAACCATCCGCGCGACCAACTACGGTTCTGCATGTGCTCAGAGCAGTGGCGGTAGTGAAGACTGTCTATACCTGAACATTCAAACCCCATACATACCAAAGAAGGGGTCGCGAGAGGGCCTGAAGCCTGTCATGTTCTGGATTCATGGCGGTGGCTTTACTGGAGGAACAGGTGCTGATCCGCTTACGGACGGTGGTAACCTGGCATCACGCGAGGATCTTGTGGTTGTCACATTCAACTATCGGCTGTCAACTCTGGGATTTCTGGCTATTCCTGGGACTGATATTACCGGAAACTATGGAGTCTCAGACCAGATTCTTGCCCTTGAGGTACTATTCCCACTTCTCCATATACATGTCTCCGAGACTAACAGTCACAGTGGACTATTAAGAATATCGCGCAATTCGGGGGTGATCCAAAGAAGATCACCATCATCGGTGAATCGGCTGGCGCCGGCTCGGTCAGAGTGCTACTAGGTTCTCCTCCAGCTTCAGGGAAGTTCCAAGGCGCCATTGCCATGTCGAACCTGGGCGGCGGTGCTGGGCTAGGGCTGGAGAGCGACTACGCAACGACATACAGTTCATATCTCACAACCGACGAGTCCTATAAGCTTGCGGGTCCGCAAATCTTCTCTGAAGCAGGCTGCAACAGCGGCAGTCTTGAACATAAGATCTCTTGCCTTAGGCGTGTTCCTGCATCAACCCTTGTTGGATTACAGACTGTTGCGCGTTATGTCGTCCAAGACGGCCATTATGTGACAACAAAGGAGCTTGATCTACTTCGGAAAGAGGCCATCACTTCTAACGTACCGGTCATGTTCGGCATTGTCGCCAACGACGGCGCTTCGTTCAGCACGTACCCCAAAGCTCCTGTTAGTTCCGAGCTTGAAGGCATCCAAGCAGCCCTAGGTATCAGTGAGAAATACGCACAGTCCCTCATCGACTCGGGCCTATTCCCATACCACAACACCGGCAACGTGACTCTAGACTCTTTCAACGTCTCCCAACGGGTAGCGACAGACTTGCAATTCCGCTGTATCGATCAGGCAACTGTCTTTGCTGGTGTTACCTCTGGGGTGTTCCAACCTTCATACTTTTATCAGATACAGAGGACAACCGGTGGCTACGACCCTAACAACCTCGGCGGCCCTCCCGCAACGCCAGAGTTCCCGAACGGTGACCCAGAGCTGCCCTATTTCCGCCTCCATGGCGCAGACCTGCCTTGGGTCTTTGGAACGCTAACCACCCTGCGCGAACCCCTCGACCTCTTTTCCATGCAGCTCGTGTCTGCCTACTTTGCCGAGTTTGTTCGATCAGGCCAACCGAACCCTGCGCCGGAGTACCTCCAGGCGCGCGGGTATAAGCAGACGCTGGACGCCGTCAACAATTTCGATCGATGGGAGCCGGTGTCTCACTCCGAGGGCCCATTGCAGCTCCTCGATTATCCTAGTGTGAAAGCCCCTTTCCAGGATCTGGCACAGTGCGAATTCTTGGGTTACCCGATCACGTATTATTTCCGTTAATTTGGCCAATTGCCAAGTGATTTGACCAGGTCCATTGGATTGGTTATCGCATTACCACATTCCAATCGGATCCGACTTCACCTACAAGTCAACGCAAAGAAAACAACAGATCTAATACATTGACGGGGTCGTCGTCGACAACGTGCTTGCAAAGCATTTCAGGCCCACATTACTGTTCCCACCATGTACAGATATGCCACGAGCACTGACCAGAACTAGATCAGCAGATTTGCAGATCTACAATCCATCTGAAGTGAATGCCTGCATGATCAGCACCCTGCTGGAAGCTATGACAAGGCCCTGTCATTTCTACTTGGACTTTACGAAGACTTGGAGGATTAAGTACAAATGAAGCTCATATATAACATTTTCTTGTTGATACACCCACACTATCATATTGGCCTTCGTCATATGGAGTACAACCTGAGCTATAGGCCGCTGGGGTGTTGGACACCCCATTCCTCGCTCTGCAAATCAATAATTCATATAATGTATAGTTATAGTTCAAGGATCAGGTCAGTTAGTTAGTTCATGGCAGGAGGGGTGTGATCCCATTTGTCTACATGATCCGCAAGACATGCAAATATATGTATCACTTGGTAGCATAAATTCATCTATCATCTTGATTCATATGGTAATTGTTGAATCATTGTCGAACATTGACATGCAAGCACACAGATCCCCCAACCAGAAGAAGTCATCACCCTGTTATGTCCATTTCCCATCCGTGTCGAGTGATGACTCAAATACCGCACAAGTCAAGAAAGAAGCAGAAACAAAGGGGGATCATCTTTTATACATGTTAAGAAATCAAAAAAAATCCGTCACAAGTCATCTAACAAAGGCTGATGTACACCTGCAATTTCCAAGTGCCTGTGGAAGACAGCCTAATTCGTCCTGTAGACGTAACAGGACGTCCCTTTCATGAATCTTGTAGTTCCTTTCCATACCCGTTTCCCAATCCCAGTTGTCATATTATTCGTGTGCCTTTCGTGAAAACATGACGATCAATTAAACATGGAACATGCGTCGTAAAAAAAAAAAATCAAAAATGCAAGAGTGCTGCGAATTGTGGCGCTTATTCTTCATCCGTCAACTGCTTTAGCAGTTTGATGCTCAGGATCATCACCAAGAGACCTATCGTTACGACCACTAAGAGGACGAAGCCGAACCAGCCAAGCACCATTGCGGACGTTCCAACTCCTGACTTGACGCTCCCGTTGCCCATGTCCTGCGCTATTGTCGTTGCAGCAACTGATGCTGTATGCTGCCATAGGACCGACACAAGCACAAAGACGGATGCGACGAAGATAAGCGCCAAGGCAGTTTGGGACACGGGGCGCGAGGGAAATGGTTTGACCTCTCGTTCTGAGCCGGTGGAATCGATCTCTTCGTGCCAGCCGGGAAATGTGGCCAGGAGGATAAAGCAGAGAAAGGCCAAGATGACCGCAACGATACTGGACGAGTCAGCAAATGCCGCACGGACAGACGGGGCTCAAAGGACTTACAGCAAATAAGGGAACACGACTGCGTCCTTGAATGTCGATGCCACCCAGATTAGATTCAATGGATCTTGGTCGACGGTTACAATCTCAGCCAATGCCGTGGCGTTTGAGTTGCAGATGTAGGCTCCGCCTTCTGGTTGAACGCAGATACCAAAATATCCCACGCGGACCTCCATTTCGGCACCACCAACAATATTTGCCGTCGCTGTCACCACGCCAGGGTCCACCTGCGCCTTGTCGAAGACTGGACTATAACGCTCATAGTATAAAGATATCAGAAAGATATCCGGTATTTGTGGTGATGATGATGAACATCCGGCCAGTAGTAAGGCTAGGGCAAGTTAGCGACATTCCGCACGACATGTGGCAGACGGAGAACTCACAGAGAAGAATGATCGCCACAGCAATGATAATCATGAGCACATGATGATAACCGATCATTGGAATAAACCCTGATGCATAGTCAGTATACTCGAATCCTAAGTAACTGGGAAGGGCACCGCATACGGGCAAGCCCGGCGCCAATTCTGACAGCCATTGCGAGAGCAGATTTGGATCTCCCGTGCGCCTTTCCTTCACACTGAGTAACTCACTTCTCGGACTCCCGAGAAGGAGTGCCTATAGCGCCGCTGCTGGTCACTATACGGCGAAGGCAGCGGTCACCAGACGTTCCTGAGAGAGTCGAACTTGGTGGCGGGCAGGTTGACTCCGAGTACAGTCACTATTGTGTGCGGATCTTGATCACTGAGATAAGATAAGATGTTCAGATGAGTTGACAATGCTGTGACAACGTGGTATGGAATGTGGATGTTGTGGATCGAAGCTCGGATGGGTCACTCGAATTGTTCAATGCGATCTAGTTGACGAACTTGACGGAGCCTTTCAAAGAATGTGGCTTCTTTCAAGGAATGACACCTGATTACTCATTCAAGATGGTCAGGATCTCAACTCAAAGCAGTCTGTAATATCAGATCTGGCGAAGATAGGTATGTGCCAAAAGCAGGCAAGTATGAGAGAGGGTATAATTAGGAAGAAGAATGGAGGGGAAAGAGAGGGAAGGGAGCGTAGCTGGACAATTCCACAATTTCGGCCTAAACCTCCTTCTCTGCTTCTAATTTTTCACAACGAAGAGACAGTTACAGCATCAGGGTCCTGACGATGACACAAATGATGATGATGCTGTGCTGTACCTGGTGGCTGGGAGACTTGACTCCATACAATGCAGGAGGCTGGGCCAACGCCTTTTGTTTACGCCGCCCGTTCCCCGGTAACCATGCCCGACCGCCTGCGCTTTCAGGCAGCCCCGCTAGTGCCCATCCAGACCAGATTGACCCGCTCAGAGGGCTATGCCTTGATAGGTCTAGCGCCATGGCTTATCAGTAACATCATCGATCCAGCCTCGCGATTTTCAGGTGTCGAGAACTCCACTGCCAACAATAGACAGGCGCAATAAGATTAAAAGCTATCGAACTGTTCGTTGTAAGTCTCAGTGATAAGAAAAAAACCAAGGGCGGATCTGTTCTGTATGTATATTACTCCAATTTAACCATGTCTTTTCTCTTGCAACGTCTAACACCTCCCAAACTTTTTAGCCCAACAAGAGCGCCCAATTCAGATATGGGTATACCAAAAGTATCAATGCAAAATAGTAGGATGCAAGTCGTCCCAAGTACGCCGTTGTACTCCGTTGAGTTAATGTTCACTCCATGCAAACCAACAGAATCTGCTCCAACAACCGGAGTACCTCTCTGTTATCTGGCATACAAGAACTGTTCCAGATTAACCGGCTCCTGCGGTTTGTTGGTATCATCGCCATCATCTTCGTCGTCAGTGTTCGGAATAATCAAGTCTTCGCTGCCCTGAGTAGAGGTTGTCGCTGAACGTTCAACCAGGCTGGGAGGGATGAATGCCTTTGTCTGGGGCAGGGCATTCACAGATCGAGAACGAGCAAGAGCAGTTTGACCAAGGCGCTGCAAGGGAGTGAGCCGACGCCGTGGGGAAGGACCAGACGAGGTTGACAACATCAGATCGCGGGACGCGCCAGAGTTACGCTCGTTAGACTGGGGCTTGAAGACGTAATTTGACAGCACTGGTTTGCCATCTTTCTCGTCTGACATAGACGATCCGGGCGGATCAACGCCTTCCTTGGAGTCGCTGGACCTGTGATCGGGGTCAGGTAGGTGGGTCATTATTTGCTCTGCGAGCTCATCGGAGAAAACTTCCAACGTCGATTTGCGTTTGGTTCGAGCAGCCTTCGAGCCACTTGGACTAGAGCTGTTGGTGCAAGGCGCGAAGAAACGACTGCGGCAGTCTGCACGCTCCGGTAAGCTTTCTTCCTCTGTGTCGGCGCAAAGGCGTTGCCGTTTGGCGGGTTGAAAAGTCGACGCTTTAGCCGCGCGAGCCAAGAAAGAGGTACGCTCCACACTTCTGACTAGGGGACTTGATAAACGGTTGGAGGAATCCAGGGCAGACGCCGACCTAATAACGCCTGGCCGCGATGGCGCAGGACTACTCTCCCAAGAACTATTGGCATGACGCTCTAGCAGTCGTTGCTGACTCGGAGACGGCGTTAGACTGTTGGGGTCTAGTTCAGCCAACGGCATCCGCTTTGGAGTAAAGAATGCGCTGATGGGCTTCTTTGGCTTTAACTCTGCCGCAGAGCCGAGCGTCTGCCGCCGAGTAATTCCGCTTGCCATCTTCCCAGGAGCTGGGGGTTTTAGCACAATTTGCTTTTTCGTCGTTGGATCCAAGTCGCCAAGTGCAACACCGAGCGCGATTTCTGCATCCACATCGCGACCGATGAAAGGCAGTTCCTCCAGGTTCACATCCTTTTCGGGCTGAGTCAGAGGGACGAGCTTGCCGGCCTTAGGACAGAAAACTCTCTGGTATAGGAATGTGAGCTCCGCTTGCTTGAAATTCTCAAGGTAATCAGCGGGAACGTGAAATTGACCGTCAAATTGCAGCATACGAAGTGCTTTCTCAACGTTCTTGTACTTTCGTATGCTCCGATAAGCTGTTTTCAGGCCCATTCTGGGGATGTTGGGAAGATAATCGCAGCCACTAAGGATACACATTCGTCGGAAGTCAGCATCTGTCCATCCTATCAAGCTGACCTCGCGACAGGCCGTGAAGTCTGCTCGATTAATCTCAATGCAATCGCCATGTTGGTCGAGTTTAGACAGCAATCTCTTGGCGCCGAAGACAAGTAAATCCGAGTCTTCAGATATGATCCCATTGATGATGCCCTGCCGTTCAAGATATACCAACTGTGCATCTGCCTCGTACGGCGCGACGACGTATTGGACTTCCATCTTCTTCAGTTCCTCGATCAATTGGCGAGCCATATAAGGAGTCACATCCACGGCCTTCTGTAGTTCCTGGTAGGCCTCTGCCATACGGCCCTTCCGTTGAAGCTCCAATCCAAGAGCCTTACTCGCCTGCCGCTTCTGAAGCCGCTCGGACTCGGTACCGGATTTACTGGGGAGATTGTCTCCATCGAAGACAAGGTACGGGGTTACCCCGAAGTAGAGGAGCATGCGGACACGATTGAGGACGAAATCAACATGTCTGGAGAAAAATTAGTCATGCCCTCGCGGAGCCGCTTGGTTGATCACATACTTTGTTGTAGGCCTGTCGAGAACGAGATCAACAGCACAGGCAACAGTGCCGCGATGTAGCCAGCCATACGCATCTACCCCGAGGGTTTGCCCTTTGAACTTTTTCACGTGACATGGCTTCTGAATTGATTTGAGAAGGCCGTGGAGTCCTGCATAGTGAATTAGTTTCTTTGCCATTCATCATGGCGAAGGGGGAAAGCCAACCTTTAATGCCCATGGTGGGCACTCTTGCAGCAAAGGCAAGACACTCCTGCCGTTCACCTAACCGGCCAAGACGGGCATCAGCTCTGGCGTTGTTAGGCTGAAGGTTCGAAGAGTTTGAGTGCGTGGGGTGCTGGGATACCGCGTTCCTATAAAAGAGGGATCAACGACAGTAGTCAGCCACCCTGAACATCAGACCAGAGACAAGATGCTGGGCCCTGACAACGAGGCTGGAATGTTTGTTCCTTCTCGTTCCCCATCGACGCGCGAACGCGGTATATTGATAGAGCAGCTCTGATTGGGTCGAGGGAGGCGGTCTCTACTTCCGTCGTCACCGCCTGTTGATTCTGCCGTCCGTACCAGAAAATTATCAAAAAAGGAAGTTTCGACTTTGTCGATGGTGAATTGGCATAGACTACCCCTCTACACCTGGCAAGTATAGAAGCTTCTGAATCGACACAATGCCGAAGTCATTCACGAAAGTACACAAACATATTTCCAAGAAGCGCGGTGTGATTGATGCGCTCCATGAGAACAGCAGAGATGCGAAGAGATTGCGCCGAGCGAACGCAAGGGACGATCGAGTAGCCCGAGTCTCAGCATTGATGGCCCGTGGAAGACAGTCTTATAGTCAGTATATACTTCAAATTCCTCTGCGGACTTGTTGAGCTGATTCTAATACCCTCTCTCTAGTTGATCGCGTCACGTACTTCCAAGAAACCGTTGCGGAAGAATCCAAACCGTTCTCAGAAGATGATATGAAGGATTTGGTCGTGCGGTATGTCTATGCCATTACTTTTCCTGCGCAGTCGCATGCTGACATCTGCTTGGCTAGGTATATTAACCGTAGCGTCCCTGAGATCGAACAACTACAGAGTGAGCGGAGGAAAGGCCGACCTCCAAGCAAGCGTGAAGAAGCCTTACTACAACGGACAGAGGTCGAGAACAAAGAGTTCAAGACTGGATTTTGGATGCCTGATTTAAGTCAAGAAGATGTGATCAAAGGCCTCGCATCGTGGAACGGAGACTGGTCCGGCCTCAGCATGATGAAATTCATCAGAATTACCAAAGATGGTGGAAAACAGCCGTCGGCTTTTCCACCCAAGGGACTTTCATGAGGCTGGTTTCTTCTAACTTTTCTCTTTGGTCTTCTTTTTATACATAACGAGTCAGATGATCTTCGGCGATGATCCTACATATGACATATGACAATGACCACTTGTACATGCTGCAGGTACTTTGTTGTGCATCAATATTCTATCAGAGATTCCAGCTTAGAACCTGATCAAGTTACGCCGCTCTGCATATTGAGCGTGAAGTAATCATACTATACCGCCGCACTGCCCAGGTTGCTATAGAGCCCAAATCCGGACCCCAGCCGACACCCGGAATCAAAACCTGATGCAGACGAAGCACAAATATAGTAAAAGTAACTGGGAGTGAAGAACATACTTCTTTTCTTTTCTTTTCTTTAGGGTAAGTAGGCTCATCCTGTGCTCTGTAGATAAGTAGTTGGATCAGCGGAAATGGCAGAAGCTCCCCTAGTCTTGGCGGGCGGGTCGGAAGGTTAACATCATCGGTTCGCCTCACGCCAGCTTCAAAACTTCCTCTCTCTCAACTTCATACCTTCTGATTACCACCTTATTATCTGCCATTTTTGCGCATCACATTTCCATCAGTCTTTAAGATGCTTTCTCTTCGTACATTCGCCCGTTCTGTGCCTCGCACACTCTCGCGGTCCATCGCTACCACCTCCCGGTCGTCCTTCCTGTCAGTACCCAAGAATGGCTTTCTGCAAGCTTCGTTGAAGCAGGCTACAAGACCCTCCTACGCTGCTTTCTCTACCTCTAGTGTTTTCAGACAATCTCCTGCCGAAGGTAAAGACTTCTATAAAGCTTATCCTTCAAGTTATCCGTGGAGGGAAAGATAGTTCAAATTTTCTCTTTCCAGCTTCATTTAGTGATCGGGCGCGAGTTCCGGTGGCTTCACAAAGCTGGTTTCATTGAGCAAAACATCAAGCTAACGCCCAATGTCTTTATATTAGGTGACATCGAACTTGTTGCTAAGCTCGAGGATGAATTGAAACATGAGAAGGCCTCCGGCCTTGAGGATCTTGAGACCTCGGTCCAGAACATCCAGTATGTTCTTCAGAACAACTCCTGGGAGGTGAGTATACGGACCACAACTATCATTGATCTCGGCACGGACTCACGTATTGTGCATAGGTCAAGGATGTTCCTGGTGAACAGGAAGTCGTGTTGACCAAGAAGTTCGGCAAGGAGGAGTAAGTATCTCTCCACCAGAGACCTTCGGCTCCTCCGCTAATACTTCCATCTACGGACAGGATCCGACTCACCTTCACCGTCGCCGATCTTCAGAACCTGAGTGAACAGGAGGATTTCGATGACAGCGCTTTCGCCGATGAGATGGACTTCCAGGGCCACCAGCCCGCTAACCAGGGTCGCGGTGCCCCCGGTGCTGTTGCCCAGCACCCCGAGGATCGCATTGCTCCCGCCGACCGCGAAATGGATGATCTGGACCGTGATATGGAGCCCAGCTTCCCTGCTCGTGTTAACATCACCATCGAAAAGCCCGGCAACGGTTCTCTCCTGATCCAAACCGTTGCCCAGGATGGTCTGTTCCAGATCGAGGAGGTGTCTTATTTCTCCAAGCCTGACCTCGCCCACGCACAAACTGCCGAGCAAGACTGGGCCAGACAGAGCCTCTACGCTGGTCCTCCTTTCGAGAACCTTGACGAGGACCTGCAGACCTTCCTCGAACGCTACCTCGAAGAAAGAGGCATCAACGCCGAGCTCGCCAACATGATCCCCGACTACATTCAGGTCAAGGAGCAGAAGGAATACGTCCGCTGGCTCGAGAGTAAGTTAGATCACTGCCATTTACGTCTTCGCTCGTGTAGCTAACACTGCTTGTCGCAGACGTCAAGAACTTTGTCGCCGCTTAAATACCGAAATCTCCGCGGCGAAAAAGTGCTCTGAAGTCCTTACTAGGTCTTCTCGTACATTGTATCAAAACCCATTGGGAAATCATAACTACTTATCCGCTATTCCCCCATTGTGTATCATTAGAAACGAATTCAGGATCATATGTTGTACGTAGTTCACATCTAATTGAGAATGTCAAACCTCTCATTCAAGCCGTCATCAAGATTACCGCTGAGTTTACCATAGTAGCGTAGAGTGACCAAAAACATACGAGTTTTGGCATCGGATCTTTGATTCAATTGCGTGGCTTATATACAGCCTAACCAACACGTATAAACGCCTTTGCTTCGCCAGCATGAACCAATATTTCCGCTAAGAATAGAAACCTGGAAATCCCAATCTCGAGAACCCAACCATGAAACAGAACAAATGCAAACAGTAAATGCCCTTAAAATTCCATGCTTTCCGATTTTACCTCAACCGGATCTTCATTTCCTCGTTTGCCGACGCGTTCCTCTTTGTTTAGAGAAGCGATGAACGAACGGAAGTAGTCAATATATGGCTTGAGGCTGGTCTTCTCGTAATCTTGCAATTTGCGACTTCCTTGGGAGTCGCTAGGCGTGTTGCTTTCACCTTGACCAGCTTCGGCGCCTGCATTACCGCTGGAGTGTTCAGCATCCCAGGCATCAATCTCCGCCAGTAATTGAGTGACTGTTGGGACGGAAAGAGGATCGAATTCGTCCGCTTTTTTGGCGTCAATGGGAACACAGACACGCCCTGTACCGGGATGGATGACGAAAGGGCTCTTGAGCAAATGGATCATTTTCTTGCTGACTTCAGCGTCGAGTCGCGGGTATGTATATTCGAGTACGATATCCTGTTTCGCGTCTTTCAGAGTGGTAGGATTGAGAGTGCTGCTCTTGCCAGTCTTAGCAAGCGCGTCGATGTCCGCCCATTTGTTCGTACTGGACCGGTCGGGCGACGAATCCCATTTCTTGCGCAGTGCATCATTCAGTGTCTTGTCCGGCAGCAATGAGAGGAGGCGCTCCGCTTGTTCTGAGCTTGCGAACGTATCCTGGTCGACAAGTGTAGTTTGGGCGAAGAAGGGTTTGAGGATTTCAAGACTACGGGACATATGCGGATGTAACGGCCGCTTCATATTCACGCGCTTCCCGCTTTGAGATCCTCCTCTCACAACGTCGAGATAGCCGGCAATGGCCCTGCGCCGGTCATCGGGGAGACTACGAGCACGGGGATCGCACACCCATGCGTGGGCACCACGACGACCTGAGTACACCCAAAGGATGTGCTCGAAGCCAAAGTCTTCACGCAAGGCAGTATCCACCACTTTCATCGCCATTGTCACGAAAGTCCAGCATTTCCGACAGATATTTGCCTTGGTGCAGCAAGACCGAATGTCGTCATAATCCGTCAAATCAATATCGAATACTAGCTCTTTGGAGATTGGTTTCATCTGACCGCCTCGTAGTGTTTTCCGGTCCCGCGGGTTTGTGTTATATACCGGACCGATCTCAAATCGCGAAGGGTTCATATTCAAGATGTCCTTACGGAATCTAAGGGAAGAATTTGTCAGGAACCGATGAATTATAGGCCCACAACTTCTCCCTACTCACAGATCTGCAGTCGCGTATGATTGATAACGAAGATATGCGTCATTCTGAAGAGTAAGAGCGAATTCACGGTTCCCAAAATCAGGAGAGGGTATAATTCCATGGTTCAGCCATTGAAAGAGGTAGCGGAATGGAAATAGACGCTGATAGAAAGCGAGCATTATATCTGTGTCGACTTGTGTCGATTGGGGAGCTGGCCTGAATGTACATCTAACGTCAGTGCCATGCTCAAATGCAAGAACAAACTGCGCTTACTCCGAAGCAGCTTGGGGTGCTGTCGCCTCATTTTGCGATTCTGGAGCATTCGAAGCTGGAAATTCCTCGTCGTTGTCCTCATCGCTGAACATATCTTCTAGCCTCACGCCTGTTGCCTGGTTCTCTAGCGCGACTGGAGCTTTATCTTCCGTAGCGCTAGAATGCGCATCAGTCGCAGGGGCATCTGGGAGGATCTCATCATCGTGAGCGGGCGACTCGGCGGAGGAAACTGAGTGAGGCATTATGTATCTGGTTGATGATGGGCAGTGGGATAACTTTATGGACTCTCTGGGCTACAACATCATTCATGTAATCCACATCCATCGACGCGAGACGCGTCCCGAACGCGTGCCTCTAATTGAACGGGAGTGACCCGTATCAGCCCTAGCCCTTATCCTTATCGATAGGGTAGCATGTGATATGCTCACAATTCACGTGACAGGGACTACCCTGATAAGACTTACGAGTTACGACCGCAAACGGTCAGTTTCCCTGGAAGTCTCATGCAACCACAACCTCGCCAGGAACGATCTCTTTTCCCTTTCAACTTCCGCTTGCGGTAGTATTGTAAGGTCATTCAACTTGTCGTCAGAGATTTCCCCCTCTCTCTGGCTCATCTCGAGTGGTATGATGCCTACATCTGCCCTGATTCTCGCGGAGATATCCAATCAAGAGAGATCCTCGTTACATTCAGAAAGGCTCCACCACCTTCGGCTTCAAATGTTCCCTAGGGTTCTTTTGCCGTCGTACTTGCGTTTAGAAGACTTCATTGGTTAAAAATGGTAGCAGTGAGCATACCAGAGATTTCGACATGGATCTGATATGCGCCATCGTCGATCAAGGACCTTATGAAAGCGTTTGACAACACTGGCTGGAGGCAGTAGCCAGCATTTGGTCATGGAGGCTCTTCTCTCGCAACGAGCTGAGCAGTGCGCTAGCCTCCACTTACATGGGCCTCAAACTATGAAGATTGGCTAAGCCTGCTGCATTGACTCCAGTACCTTTTGCTCCTTCTTTCAGCTTCGGCAGGTAGCATTGAATGGGCGTACCCATTTCAAGCTCCACATTCCAGTGTTGCTTCAGTCGCCTTTCTGCAGTGTGGTTCGACCATCTCAGACTGAGGCTCCATGGTGGCGCCGAGCTGTGAGCGGCTTGTTTCTATTTTCGCGTGAGGTGCCTTTTTCGTGACAAGATCTCAGTATCCGTGAGGACTCTATTCGGTAATGCTGGTTCATGTTACCTTTGTCTCACTAGTTTGATGTTGGTGACGCCATCACTTCTGGTTCCTAGACTTCCGTGCCTCCTCTTGTTGCCCCGTCTCTTGGGAGGCTGACAAGGGTATCCTCGGCCTTTAATCCGAATGAAACTCCGAGATGTCACATCGATCTCCTGGTCTTGACACACGACAGGCTCCCACATAAGAGTTTTCTCTTGATAGCATTACATCGGTACCTCTATTATCCATGGTTCAATGGGGTATTATCAGCCTACTCAGGCCGGAGGCCAATCAATGTTCGAGTTACCTGGGACAGGTATTGGTCGTCATCCTCGTTGATCGTGGATACGACATGGTACCGCTACCATTATCAGTAATCTCATGAAAACGTCAAGCGACTCCACCCTCGAGATATAAAGTAGAGTTCCTCCTGCGATCCTAACTCTTTTTCCTTTCAATTCTTTCTTTCACCTTTTCGTTAAAGAAAGTCGCTCGCTCTCAGACTCTTCATTCGTTTTCTTGCTTCCTTCGGGAATTGTCATTTATTGCTATCCAGAAACTTCTGTCTCAAAAGCAAGAAATTAATTTTCAAAATGGTCAACTCTGGCATTGCACTTCTGGCTCTGGCCGGGCCAGTCTTTGCTGGCATTATGCCGAACAAGGGCAATGACGAGGTACGCGTAGATCGCCCCAGCCTCTCTTACCTTCTGCGTGGCAGACACTAAGACATTGCGGTAATAGGGTCATCCTGGTTACCCTGGTCCAACTCCTCCCACCAAGTGGGCAGCCACTCCTGAGCCTCACTGGGTCACCAGGGAGATAACTTACTTGACCACTTCCTGCCCAAGTATGATGCTCCACCTGACCTTTCCAAGCGCGTGTGTCTAATACTCTTATCGCAGTTTCCCACACGAAAGTCACTTCTGGAACCAAGACTTTGACTGTTCCTATCACTCTGACTAACACAATCACCGTGACTACCACTACCGTTCATGACTTGAACACTGAGACTCGGGTGGTCGTGCCCACTGGAACTGCGACTACCCGTCCTCTGGTTCCGACTTCTGTCCCGACTTCTGTCCCGACTCAGAACGCGACTACTATTGTGCCGCCTCCTCCAAAGATTGTCCCAACAGGTGTCCCCGGCCAGAACACTACTGTTATCCCACCCCCCAGGCCCGCTCCTTTCACCAACAGCACTGTTCCTCCCCCTGTGCAGCCAGTTCCTGTTGCCCCTGGACAGCCCTCGGCTCCTAGCCAGCCTTCTGTCCCTGGCCAGCCCTCTGTTCCTGGCCAGCCTTCTGTTCCCAGCCAGCCCTCTGTCCCAAGTCAGCCCTCTGTCCCTGGCCAGCCTTCTGTTCCCAGCCAGCCCTCTGTCCCTGGTCAGCCCTCTGTTCCTCAGCAGCCCTCTGTTCCTCAGCAGCCCTCTGTTCCTGGCGAGCCCACTGTTGTCTCGCCGCCGCCAGCTGAGACTTCTCTCACTGGCTCTGCTTCCCAGTTCGGGCCTGCTGCCGGTCTCCTGGCTGGTATCTGGGTTTTCATGCTCATGCTTTAAAGCTCCATCTATGGCCTTCCGTATTCAAAGTGACTGGCCGTCATACGGGCGGGAAAGGTACATTTTCGATCATCCTGGATTTTCTCTTCTCGCACAGTTTTGACTCGGTCTCTGTTTGTCATTTGGCAAGCAAATTTCGGCCATCTACTTTGAAAAAGTTGTTCCTTCGCTCATGGTTTATGAACGGAGTTATTGTTTGTCAAATAACGAAGTAATAGTAATATAATACGGGCGTAGCAAATACATTGCATGCTTTATAGAGTCATTCACATCCTACTGTCTTTTAATGACGCTTTGAACATGATAAACTTCGAGCCGATCTAGTCAGTTGGTTCCACCACGTCAAATACGTTCACCTATCGGGATGTGAGTAAGACCTCGAACATCCGATTCAATTCTCGTAGACTTATGTAACCGTGATCGAGGACAGCGTCTCGCACTCTCATAGACACTCCTCGGATGCATAACTGAAAATGTCAAGCCCGGCAGAAAATGTTAATCCACGAGCCACGTATTTGACATTGATTCTATGGTCAGGTTTACTCTATGCAAAGCAGATTAAAAGCAGGGCCCAAACAGAAATGACGCAGACGCATCCATTCCACCAGCCTAAACCTCTAATAAAGATTGAAAAGGAGCAAAATAGAGGATATATAGAAGATAAATACATTTGGAAGAAGCAAAAAAGGTTTGTCGAAATAGTTCACTACCTCAAGCCCTGCAGCTCCTGCTCGACTTCGGCCTTGACCACTTCCCGGACACCTACCCATCCGGCGCCGGCGCGGATAGGAGTGACTCTGCTTTCGCGCTGCTCGAGCCCGATGAATTCCTGGGGAAGAACCTCGGTGAAGTCATACCCGTCTTCGGCGCGAAGGGCCAGGTCGACGGCGCTGGCGAACTTGGCCGGGTGGGCTGTGGAGAGGGAGATGTGCTTGACACCAGGATTACGCTCGATAGAGCGCAGAGCTGCCCGCACACCGACAGCCGAGTGAGGGTCGAGAATGTAGCCGCCAGTCTTGGAGCTCTTGGCGCTGCCGGGGCCGAGATTGGAGGGGAAGGAAGAGGTGTAGGTGGACTTGATCTGGTCAATGGTCTCATCGTTGCTCACCCGCTCGCTCTCGAACTCGGCCTTGGCGCCCTCAAGGACTGCCTGGGGTACGGTGAAGCCACCCTGTGTCTTGAGCTGATTGAGCCAATTGCTGACGCTCTCGCAGGCGTGCTTGCGTCTTTCGTCTGCAGAGCCGGCGCCGTCCGCCTGGAACGCAAGGAACCAGAGGAGACGCTCAAAGTTGCTGCTGACGAGGATGTCCATGGCGGGGCTGTGAGTCTCCTTGACGCCTTCTGCCTGTGTGGTGTTCTTGGTGTACTGGCCACCACTACGGAAGAAGCGATCCAGGATGTCGTTCTCGTTGGTTGCGATGACAAGCTTCTCAGCGGGAATGCCCATGCGCTTAGCGAACCATCCGGCGAGAATGTCACCGAAATTTCCTGAAGGAACAACGAAGCGCATCTTCGTGTCTTTGGAGAAGCCGGGGGTCTTGGTGAGAGAGAAGTAGGAGTAGAAGTAGTATGTGATCTGGGCCAGGATACGAGCCCAATTGATGGAGTTGACAGCGGCAATGTTGTGGGTTGAGTTGAGATCAGGATCGGCAAACAAGGCCTTGACAATGTCCTGGCAATCATCGAAAGAGCCCTCGACTGTCAGGTTGTGGACGTTGGCGTCCAAGACTGTCGTCATCTGAGCTTGCTGGATAGGCGACACCCGTCCAGTGGGGAAGAGGATGAAGATGGAGACATCCTTCTTGCCCCGGAGACCATAGATGGCTGCCGATCCAGTATCTCCACTGGTGGCACCAATAACAGTCAAGTGGTGTCTGTCCTTGCCCTCCTTGCCCTCATTCTTGCGCACCAAGAAATATTCGAAGAGGTTTCCGAGGAACTGTAGCGCTACATCCTTGAAGGCAAATGTTGGTCCATGGAACAATTCGAGCAAGTAGAGGTTGCGTTTTTCGTCCAATTCAACCACAGGCGTCCGCTCAGGGTGCCGGAATGTAGCGTATGAACGTCTAATGATATCTTTGAGGTCTTCCGAGGGGATTTCACTCGGCGAGATGTACAACGACATGATACGATATGCGAGATCTTCGAAACTGAGATCGCGCCACTCCGTCTCCCATCCCGCAGGAAGCGAGGGGATTTCTTCGGGGATGAACAGGCCACCATCGGACGCCAATCCTTTAAGGACGACATCTTCGAAGGACAGCTATACAGCCAGTAGGTCAGCAGAATGATCTTTTGGGTTAAGGTTAAATTATTCTTGACCGACCCCGTAGGAGGCACCCCGCGTGCTGAGATATTTTTGCGAAAGCGTATGAGACATGGCTAGGAAGTGAAATTTGATGTTGTGAGTATACCAGGTGTCTCTATTGAGATGACGGCTCCGTGTACAAGACAATTGCAATCAGAGACTCAATTGTAAAAGAATGGACGAAGGCGAGTCTGGCGATGATTCATCCCACCTCTGAACTAACTATCTTTCTCAAAACGCCGCGGGGAGGACCTTGCCTGTTTGGGGGTTAGCGTCGCCGACAACGGCACAGCGAAATCACGTGCATAAATGGCTGGCTCTGATATCTTGGCATCATGATACACGAGTACCTAGTACTCGCACTGGATCCAAGCATAGTCAAATCAAACGAGCGAGCGACAGAGAACACAGAAAGATAAATTTGGTTAACTATGTAGGTCAATTAATATCCAGGTCGGTGCGAATCGGACAATGGTATGGGATCTATATCAACAACTGTAAATACTACTCCTGACCTTGAGATGGTCACGCCGAATCATCAAATAACCAGAGCTTCCCCGCGTTAGAACAGTGATAGAATATCCTCATTGGTCTTTCTTTGCTGATTGCCCCCTGGGGGTGGCGACGTGGTGTTGGCGGAGAGATCAAGGCCAGAGAAGCCGTTCATGAGATCCGCAGCGGCACCGCCGCCGTTGGGAACAGCGGTGCTGGCTGAGGCGGCGGTACTGCCACTATCGCCGAACACACCAAGGAGGTCATCCAGATTGTTGCTTGAGGCAGGAGCGGGCGCGCCAGCAGCAGGAGATTCTACTCGAACGGGAGTACCAGCAAGACCCTCGAGACCAGACATTCCACTAGCAGGTTCTTTCTGAGTCGAAGCGGGAGCTGCGCCATCGAAATCGATATCCAGGAGGTTCTCAATGTTGTTTTGAGCCTGTGGCGGGGGTGTAGCACCCGTGACTGCGGCAGCCGCAGCGGCTGCAGCCAAGGGATTTTCACGGGCGTTTTGGATTTGTTCCCTGTTCCATCATATTAGCTGACTGCTCAAGAATGGATTGAGAAGCAAGGTAACGAACTCGATAGCAGCGCGTTGCACGGCATCTGCGCCAAATCTGCCCTGGCCGACAAATTGCTCTGGTGGTTTGTGGTAGACGGATGCAAGAGTAGAGAGTTCACCGATCAGCTGTTCGAGAAGAGCGGGGGGTAGAGAGTGGATCGTCGTAACAATAGGAGGCTTCTGGGAAAGAACAATGTTCTTCGTAGCATTGGGATCACTTGTGTTGGAGAGAAGACGCCAGTAAACGTAGGCTCGGTCACGGACATCGGGGTTATCGTTCTCAGCCGTTGCCGCCTGGAGAACTTTCTGAACCAGTCCTTGAGCCTTCTCAGGCCTCTTCAAAAATAGCTTTACGACGGCAGTAAGAATCTGAAGCTGGGTCTGATAAAAAATTAGCTTTGGCATACACAAGTCGAGCGCAGCAACCAGACCTGTGAGAATTCCTCGTTGAACCCTTCCACGAACCCGGCCAGGATGTCGCCAGCATTGCTAATCTTCTCTGCATATTCTCCCACGATCCAGATGAGCGCGGCACGGGCGTTTGGTTCATCCAACTCGTCAATGCATTTGCAGAGAGTAGGGATGATGCCTTCGTATCCAGGGTATTTCCGGAAAATATCTTTTATGACAACAATAGCCTCCTGTACGACGTAGTTCACTTTGGTGTTGATCAAATCCAATAATGTGTTTACACACTTCTCGCATGAACTCTCAATCTTGATGGCAACCTGGCCTATGGCTCGCACGGCGCGCCGAACGAAATCCATGTCGACTTCCAATGCGTACTCCCGCAGTTCTGCGAGGAGCTGATCGACGTTGCGGTCGTTTGCTATGCGGACCATAGTTTCCAGTTTCTGGAACTTGACATAAGGGGGGTCATTGTACTTGCAAAAGAAAACCCGCAACTCTTTGTTCAGAATATCGGGCTGCTTCTGCAACAACAGATCGATGTTTCGCAATGCGACATATTGTACTTCCGGGGCGGAGGACACCAGAGTCACTATATAGATATCAGCGTACCATGCCTTCGGGATAACAAGTGGGCTCAAGAGGAATACCTAGAGGGGGCGCCATCTTCTTCAAGTAGTTGCTCGACAACTCCTGCTTGATGTTCTTCATATGCAGGAAAACGACCTTGACCGCTGCCAGTACTACACTTGGATTGGCGTGTTGAAATTGTGGCGCGACTCGCTCGCAAATGTGCTCCGATTCCGTCACATCACTGGTCTTGTATTCTGCCAGAGTTGTCAGGATTGTGACCCGACCCCACTCCGTACATTCATTCAACGCCATCAACAACTTGCGCAGTACGTTAGATGTCACTTGGAGGGCTCGGGTCTCGGGGGCGGCATGATGGATTTCTGAAAGCGCGGTCACCGAGTTCGCAACCACCATAGGATTTGGATCGCCGATCATTTCCTGCAGCATCTCAAGGAAACCATTCTCCAAACACAATGAAGGATTCAAGTCGAATAGCTTCGCCACGCAGATCGCAGCAGTCTTTCGGACATACGGTGATTCGTCCCGGAGCGTCTTGCGAAGTGGTTCCTCCATGTAGTCGACCATTTTATCCACCCGAATACATCCCATTGTTCTGATAGCCAGTGCCCTAATCAACGGATTGGGGTCTTCAGAGTCCTGTACAAATGTATTCACGGCGAGAATGCAAAGATCCGGGTGAGATTTGGCGTAATTCCTTTTTGAAGCGTGTGGGATCAGCGAACGGAGCCGCCACCGAGCAGATTCAGGAACACTTACATGAGATATAGATATACAAGCTTCTTCTGTTCAAGATCGCTCGTCGCAATATTCTTGAGGACGTCAGGGAAAAGAGCAGAGACATCCTTTCCCAGTGTCATGGCCATGATGGTCTTCTGAATGGCTTCCTTCCTGGAACAGAGTTAGAATGCACTCACATTCGGCGGCGCAAGTAGTAAATGGTCAAAAGAGCTCCGAGAGAAAACAAAAGTATTCCACATACCGTTCGTACGCATACTGAGATCTATTCTTCCCGTCAGCGACACAGTCCACTCAATGAAACTTGCGTAGGGTGGAGGAACTCCGTACACAAGACCAGCTCGCAATTCAAACGTTTCTCCTTTTCTAGGCACTGCAAAAGCGCCGCGGATCCTACTCATCGCCATTTTGAGGGCACGAAAGCTTCAGCGACGACTAGGTCGCGCCTCCGCAAACAATATTTTTATCGTAGGTGAGAAGTAGTGCTTCGTTGCGGACCACTGCGGGGAATTCGGCGGCGAAGCTTCAGGGACCAGTTCGACTCGAGGGGACGTGACGGTGCAACACTTAAAACGAGACCGGGATCCCGATACCCAAATTGGCCTCAGGTTGATAGAGAAAATGGAAAAGGGCGGAAAGTAGGGAGCAATCCGTCTCCCTCAAAGGGTGCTGATGGGGTTAAGGAAAGCAAATGGTCTGGTCTGGTCTAGGTCAATTGTCACGGGCCCAAAAGTTGTCCACAAAACGCGGCTCATGATTTCCCCAAACCGGAGCCACATCCCACTCCGTCCGGTCCACTTCAGGTCCCTAACTCTACCAGGACTCTCTGATTATTGACGCCGTTATAACCAGCACATTTTTTGAGTTGAGATTTGATGTCATGGTAGGTCCCGGCTTGTCATGATGGATGTCAGTTATTCATTTTCATTACCAGGCGAACCTCCCTAATCTGCGACGCTTGTTCGTCGAGGCAAGAACAGAGGCTGAAGAGAACGAGTACTCAAGGACGGCTGTATGCTCTCATCTACCGTATTTAGTGCAAGATTCCATGCTGAAGATAATTGCAGTTTTACAACCTCGTCCTCTTTATCTCCTCAGTCGCCGTCTTCAGCTTAGTAGCACAACGGATGAGTGGCTCGAAATCCGGAAGATGATGAACGCAATGACGCTTTACTGCTATCACTTCGTCAATCTAAGAGTGGCACCGTGGTATCGAATGGCACATTCAACTCCCTGCCCGTACCAGAGGACTCAATAGGCAGGCAAGATCACGACATCGAGGTCAGACGCGAAGTTGGCATTCACAAGAGTGGCCATCAAAATGTCAAAAGATTTATCCGATAATCAAGCATTCATATTATGCTCTCGAAAGACAAGATGACTTGGTGGAGTTGGCCACCTGCCTTTGTCTGCATTCTTCTGTCGCTCTCAGCCAGAGCATACGAGGCTAAGCGGCACCATGTTGGAAGCAGTGGATGTCCCTATCTACTATGTCTGCCTACCTGGTCAGCTCACAGGATGTTGTGTGTTCATTGATATATATTGGAAACAGGTGACAGTATGCTGCCGCTTGCTCATTAACGTCAATTGAAGCAAATTGTTTGAGGCTTGTTTCTGTTCTCAACAAGAATGAGCTCTGGCTATCACTTCGCCGCCGCAATGCTTGGCCAAATTTGCTCAATGAAACCCGTCAAGTCCGCTTTCAGGCCTTGGGGTCGCTCAAGCGCCGCAAAATGACCACCCTCAATGAGAAAGTCAGCGTGTATGGATTTGAATGGAAACCTAGGTTCATACCTTCTGGTGATCCTTGAAGAAAATCAAATTTCCTGTTGTGGCCACCCAGGATCTAGGAGCCGGATAAAGTTCCATGGGAAAATAGGAATATCCAAATGGTTTCTGTATGAACCACCGTGTACTCAGTTCAGAGGTGAACTTTCTATGAGGATAGTCCTGTTTGACCTCTTTATCAGCATCCCTGCAACTTCATGAAATCGGGACCCAGACCTCGCGGTAAAAGTAGATGGCCCGCGGATATGTCTCGGTAAACCAGTACAGAGAGACAAAATCTAGGATGGTCTCTAAAGGAAGAGGTTCGTCCACCCAATCGAGGAATTTCTCTCCAACCCTAGTCATGCGATTTAATGAGGTGCTTTGCGATTTTGAGTATCGTCATGCTTACCACGCCAGCAGAGCCATGGGGTTGGTAGACAGGACAAGACCTATGGTGCTTGGTTTTGTGCCTTGTTCGATTGCATATGCTATCCCAGTCGTTAGGAAAGCGTTCAGCCTCTCGACTCCGCGTTTCTCAGAAGCAGATAAGCTGTCATCTGAACAGCCTTCTGGGCGTGGGATAGTACAGAAGTTCACTGTTTCTTGTTGGCACAATCTCAGACAGGCACAGAAGAGATACACTCACGATGAGCCGCTGCAGCATCGTCAGTATGCATTACAATTGAAGGCATGGACTTTGCACCGACCTTTACAGCTTTCGAAATCCACTGCCAGCACCCTCGAGATGCGGCTTCCGATATCTCCGCCCTGGGCGATATAGCCGCCTCCGAAACCGAGTCCTTTCATTAACTGGTCCATCACTCGTGCCACGTCATGGCTCTTATACTCCTTGTCCAAGGGTGGGCCGGATGAGAACCCATAGCCGGGAAGCGAAGGCACAATCAAGTGGTAAGGCAATGTGGTCGGAGTGTATTCCTCCTTGAACAGTTGAAGCATCGGGAGAAACTCCAGAAAGCTACCTATAGTATTCCTATAAGCACCGATGCAGTAACCGAGGGCAATCGAGCATTACCAGGCCATCCATGAAGGAGTATCACAGGAACTGCGTCTTTCTTTTCCGAGAACAAAGCTGCAAAGTGCAGCGATATGTCCTCGATCTTGGTTGTGAACTGAGGGAAGCTATTGGTCCGGGCCTCGGTGACTCTCCAGTCGTAGTCGTTCAGCCATTTCTCTCGCATGGTCGTCAGCCAGTCGGATGTGACACCATATCGACGGTCCTGTTGCTGGTTCTCGAGTGTAGGTGGAGCTATCTTAGCGAGCTTCACCAGGGTCTTCAGCTCGGCTATCTGCTCATCGGGAAAGGCTACTTGAAAAGGAGTTGGGACGATGGTTGCGGTTGAAGGAAACTGGCTGAATGGGACAGACATGGTGATAGTTGTTGATGTAGGGAAGGTAGTTATGCTTCATCTGAGACTACTCTGTACATTATGATTACGATGACATATATACCCGCGGATGCCCAAGGCAGATGGCCCTCTGGATTAATAATAGACAGAGGATGGCTTCAGTGCGGGGTAAATCAACCAAAAAAATATGGATATCATCGACAGCGATAAGTGATCGTCTCGTATCCGTGATGGCCGAAGCTGTATAATTTCCTCATTAGCAAGACTGGGGACCAAATCCAAAGTTGTTTAGAGAGGTAGAGACAACCAAGGCAGTATGCTATCAAGATTCTTATATTTTCACCGCCCACACTTTGCCCTCATTATCGATCTGCAAACACCATATCTGCGGGAAAAGCAGGGAAAAACTGTATAGGTGTGTTGAAGGAGAAAAATTGAGGTAAAGTGAACCATATAATAACTCAAGAGGATGGCATCAATTCCTCAGCAACCCGCGTCTGCAGCGACCATCTTCCTCGACCAACCACCAAGCTGTCTTCAATTTTGCCCTGCAGCACCAAACAACTTCATTATAGGCACCTATCTGCTATCCGAGAATAAAGACAGCGATGGAAACGTGCAGCAGACGAAGACTGGAAGCCTCCAGTTATGGAACCTCAGTCCGCTGAACAATGAACTGTGAGATATGTACTATCTTCCTCCCAAGTTCGAGGCTGACCGATAGTCTATACAACGCTCAGCTCTCTCATCCAGAGACTAGCACTGCCATATGCCGTCTTTGATCTTCACTTCCATCCGAGAGATCCAAGCATCCTCGCCATTGCCACAAGCGCCGCATCCGTGGCCCTTTTCAAAGTCTCAACCGACCCCGAACCCACCATCAGCCATCTATGGACCTTACCCGTCCACGAGGATCCTTCAACCCCAGCTCTATTCCTAGCCTGGGCTCCTCAGAACTGGTTTCCACAGCCCGAGCAAGACGGGTTCGCCGTCACCTTCTCCGACGGCCGGACGAGCGTCTACGGCACCGTCTCCGCCGACAAGACAGAGGCAGCGCTAACAGAGCAATCCAACGTTATCGAACAGGGGACATTCGAAGCCACCCAGCCCATCGAAGTATGGTTCGTGGCTCTGGCGTCACTTCGAGACCTTTCGTCACCTGAGGAACGCGGTATTCCCCACCTCTTCACAGGGGATGACTTCGGCTCGCTGCATACACGCCAATTCAGTGTGCAAGCAGCGGTAGAAGGCGAAGAGCCGTTAGCACCCCTCGTCCTCGACTACGACGACCGTGCCCGGCACCATACGGCCGGAGTAACGAGTATCCTTCCTCTGCCTCTTCCTCTTCGTGAAGGCGCGCCCTTGCTGCTTACCGGTAGCTATGATGAGTATCTGCGTGTCTACCACGCCACGCGTAGGGGCCAGGTGCTCGCTGAAGAGTGCCTTGGGGGCGGTGTCTGGCGACTGCAGCTGTTGAAGACGGAGCAAAGGCCTGCCTCGGCAACGGAGAGCGAAGGGTGGAGGTTTCTAATCCTAGCTAGCTGTATGCATGCTGGGACAAGGGTGGTGGCGGTGACGTGGAAGCCGCAGAGGGCAGGTGACTCGGAGCCCGGGTGGAGTATCGATGTCCTGGCACAGTTTACGGAGCATGAGAGCATGAATTATGCGTCTGATGTGTGGAAAGCGGAGGGAGGATACGACTTGGAAGGCAAGGATATATCGGAGCTGGTTTGTGTTTCCAGCAGTTTCTACGACCGGAGAGTCTGTATATGGAGAGTAGATCTACAGACGGAACAACCTCCAATTCAGTCAGAGGGGTAAAATTATGGAATTTATTTGTCATGATAAGATAACGCTCGAACATAATTCATCATGCAAAGCGAGAGGTATACTAATACAACCCCATCCCGAACCCGGAAAAGTCTCAAAAAAGGCAAATGGAAGTCGTCGCATAGATGTGGTGATCCACTAGACAATCGTCTCCAACTCGCGAGCGTAGCCTATCGTGTTCTCGATGACCGTGCTGCTTGCCACTAGGATATCCTTCTCAGACCGGGCCGCGGCCTCGGGCTCGACTGGGAAGTATATCCGGCCGTCACGGAGAACCCACCCTCGCTGCTGAGCGAACTCAATAACAGCTCCCTCGGAGTCAAGGAACAAAAGGTTCTTGGCGTTGGAAATGGGAAGCGAGGGATACGCTTTCTCGGAGCAGTCCGCGATTTCACTTCGGATAGTTCCAACAAGGACCTATTTGATCACAAAATCATTAGGGGGTGCTCAACAGCAGACCAAGAGCACAAATTACTACGGAAAAAGGTTAGACTCACGTTGGAAAACAGAGCAAAGTCCTCCGAAGGCACTCTCTCCGAGTTAGTCTCCCTCCACACCTTGTCGTAACTTCCCTCCATCAAGCTCCGCTCCAGATCAACAGGGTATTTGATGTACAGATCATCCTCCACGCGCTTGCCTTGTAGACTCGCCTCCTCAACCAGGCCTTCCAACACGGTGTGGAAACTAGTGCTATCACCCATGCTCAGCAAAAGCATCAGATACAGACCTGTAATCTTGCTGCGCTGGCTAGACTTAGTATCCACCTTTGCTGAGCCCGCGCTATCCCTCTCAAGGTCATAAAAGGGCTGCAGCTGCTGGTAATATCTCGTGAAGCCTTGTGCGTCGGTCTGTCGAATGGAGGCCAGGGCTCCTAGTTCCAGAACTTCACGAGCGAGCGGGATGAGGTCAGATGGTGTGGAAGGCGTGGGTATCAGCGCATTTTGAAGGAGGAGGGTTCGCTTTGCTTGGCTGAGGAGGTTGTTGGCAGCATCGAGCTGCTTGCGGTTGAGAGCATTATGGAGCTCTGAAACGAGGGACCGGAGGTCGGCGCTGTGTGCCATGATAGCGACGTCTTCTTGATATTCTCTGTGTCAACAGGTGAGGATATTCTTTCGAGGTTGTTCAAAGACTGGTGGAAAGATAAGAAAGACTACAGACAGAAGCAGTTGGAGGGTGTAGACGGAGGTTGGTTGATGGTGCTGTCAGCTCTCAAGAGCTTCTCCAGCGACAGTATTGTCTTGGCGGGCGGTCAACACGGTCACGTGATCTGTCGTATCTTTCTGGACAGTTGATCTTCGTTCAACTAGAAGCCTACGGTAAACCACGACTGCCAGTCCGCAATACCAGTTATCCTTTTCATACCATTGTGATTTTATATCTGCTTACTGCAGATATTATCTGGGAGCCCTAGACAGCCTGGATGGCTAGGCAGGGAGGTCCTTAAGATGCTTACAAGGGCTCTTGGGTGTAGGGGAATAGTATACTAACTTATTAGAAACTGCCTTATATTTCTCCTTGTTAATCTCATGTGATACTTGAAACGCTCGTGGCTAGTTTCACCAGAGTATTATAAAAGGGCGTCCCAAGCCCGGTAACAGGATCCCATCCTGGCGTTGCGTTCCAGCTTGCATTGGGAACCAGTTGCTCGTTGCTGGTGCCAATATAGCATCCCGATGAGCCACCATCAACAATGTCTGTGAATCCTGTCTGGTTGAGGGAATAGAGCCATGGATTTAAGAACCCCAGTTTTGGCAGACCATCCTCAAGTCGAGCAGCATTTAATCGCGAGACGATGGCTGCAAATACAGGCGCAGATGCACTACAACGACGGTTAGCGCGAAGTTTCTAAGAGCGAGACTCATTTTAACAACGGACCTTGTGCCGCCTACTCTCAACGTTTGCCCGTGATCAATGACGACAAAGTTAGTGGCCTGAGCGGCGACGTCAGGGAAACCTCTCCCGCTCGGGTTGTATAACCCGTTCCATCTGCTTCCAAGTTGCTCTAGGTAGCCTTGAACGCTTGAATCCTGATACGAGGGACGTGGGAAGCGATCCGAGAAGCCTCCGCTAGAGAAGCTGATTGCTTTCTCGGGTTGGACATCGTAGGTACCGCCAACAGCAGTAACAAATGGACAGGACGCTGGGAAGACAGGCAAGAATCGGGTTCTGTTGGTTCCATCGTTTGTTATGCATGTTGAACCAACGCCTGAGTCACCGCTGCTGAAGATGATCGACACGCCGCGTGCGCCAAGCTGTGCGAACAGATTGCAAGTTGCGTTTGAGTATGATTCAGGGACGCTTTGCTCATCTTCGCCATACGAGGTTGAAAGAACGGCGGGAAGTTTTTCATCTGAAAGATCAAGAAGGTAATGAAGTTGATCCAAGTAAGGCTCATTGGTCGACACGTTCGTATCCTGACCATCCTCAGGCACAACCGGTCCTCGGCCTCCCGTTGTATAGTAGGTTCCAAGCGCTTTATACGCCAAAGAGTAGGCATATTGGACGTCTAGGCTGGCTTCGATACTGCTCAGGGACGAGTCCTGCAGATTGAGACCGTCATTTATCGAGACCACGGTGAAGTTGACGTCTGTCCTATTGGGTGCATACGACCTCATGAAATTTTCAAAGTCGTCATAGCGTGCGTACTGATCTAGGAATCCGGAAACTCCCAATCTGTTGCGGGGGTCGGGTTCGGCTCTGGTATCATAAATCCCGTACAATTCACGAAGGCAGTTCGGCGTTATGGTTGCGGAGCAATTCGCCGCCAGCTCTTCCAGGCTAGCAACAGTTCCCTGGAAAAGTGGTTGCCGTTCATGCCGGACAGGTTGTCCAAAGCGGGTCGTTGGTTGGATCATCTGAATATAACGGTGGACGTCATCGGGAACGGAATACGCAAGCGTTCTGACTTGCGTCGTACTTGTCTCCACGTGCTGGAAGGCGTAGAAGCGCGTTCTTAACATACGTTCCGCCTGTGATACCGGGACAGTGAAAGTGACCCAGTTGCCATGACTTTCAATCGAGCCAGCAGGAACATTCTCTGATCTCAGCCAGGAAAGGACTCTGTCTGAGACCTCCTCGGAAGGACGCAGGAATTCCCTGATATCGTCACGCTTCATATGTTGTCCATAGCTCGAGTGACCGGGCGTTGACATGTCAATGACCCTTCGCTCGAATTCAGCGGCTCTTTCCTGGATCATAGCCAGCCGAAATCTGACCGATTCAGACGCCGGCGCTGCATCGCGCTTTATCCAGCCGTCGGGAACATTTCTGAGCTGCTCAACGACCGCATACCCGGACTCTGCAGCTGCACCAAGATCAATGCAGTAAATACAGAGGGATAGTATCCCTATCAGGAACGCGAATGGAGCCATGTGAGCTAGACGATACGGAATCGCGCATCTAGACGGCAATATAGCGATAAGATCACGGCAATAGGCAGACGGCGAACCCTTGTTTTATCTGTCACTTATAAGATGTGGGGAAGTCAGTATCCGCGTCTCCTGCGGATTAGCAGATAAACAATGGCTGCAAAATACCAATAGAAGGGTCGTCCTGGAACCGTGGCGCTCGGTACATGTACACGCGAGGCGCAAACTACACAGTACATACTTGTACTGTACGACTTGGTGGGTTACCGACGGCCAATCGCGTATTTCAGGGGTCCCAAGGGAAAAGGCGCATGCCAAAGTCCAGCCATCACGTCACCAAGGCAGGGAATGTGACTACTTGGCCAGTATTTGCACGAGCAGAATGACTGCAGAAGTGCGGTTGTCAGTCTGCGCCTTCCTGGAGAAGACCCTGCGTTAGCCTGGTTAGTGGGGTGCAATGAGTTCCCTGTCCAGATAACCAGACATGAGAGTAGAAAGCTTGAAGGACTTACTTAGCCTGGAGCTGAGAACGCCATCGTCAGAGCTCGGGCGTTTTGAGGGCTGACACTCGAGTCTGTTAAGTTCAGGGCAGTGTATCGATGCCGGGTAGCGGCACAAGCTTCTCATTCTCATCCCTATGGAGCTTTCTATGGTTGACCAAATTGGGCAATTGGGGAAGCAAGGGATAACCAAGTTCTAGCCAGTCATAGTCCATCAAAAGAATGACTGAGCCGTGGTTTAAGTGGATTATGCTTTTCTTGTTTTATGACCAAGTGGACCTGTTTATCCCGCAAGGCTCAATTTGGCAGATGATCGCCCGCCTATCAAAAGGCACCACCAGCAACTATGTAGATACCTGATTCAAGGTATCTGAGAACACCAGCCTCCAGGACATTTAATTATCTCCTTGGAGAAATGGAGAAGTGACAGGAAGTTTGTATTTGATTATTGGGCCATCAGCAGTGAACACAAAAGATCTTCTTCCTTCTTATCTCCCTACACCTGACAGCAAAGTTTATGTAGAGGCACGAGGCTGAAAATATGCCATAGCAATAGTCTTTGACAAAACAGCTTAATAACTCCTTACTTATATCAGCTGAAAAACACTGACATTGTCAGAAGCAGGAATCACTTAATTGGTCGGAGACTACGGAGAATTCAGGTTAAATCCAGGCCGAGAGGAATGCAGGTCTTTGTCTCAAGCAGAAGGTAAGCATATTTTCCGTCTGGATGATCCTACCAAATGCGTAACCTTGATATAGAACGGTGAATGATGGTGCAGCGCGACCTCGGCTGTATTCGATGAGTGTAACTCATAGAAGGAATCAAGTGAAGAGGGTTGGATCTGTTACGGAATAGTGATGGTAGACCCTATTGAGTAGGTGTTAAAGTATGGCACAGCTCTTCAAATCGTTGAAACGGACGTCTACTGTAATACTCGTGATATGCGGGGCTTCGAAGGATAGGGTATATATATTTTCGGCAGGATGAGAATACTTGCAGTAGTGCAATCTGGGTTCCCAAGCCGATTGATCGATACCTAGGTGGTCCTGTAAGACTTCGTGGCGCATTCTTAGACGTCTTCGACAACATCAAGCCTTTCTCAACCCCTCATTTGCTGAGCGACTTCACCTCGTTGTGCTGAAGAGTATGAACTCTACAAGCGTGCCCCATTTTCAGGAAAGTCCTTCAATTCAGTTCAGGAATTCCTTTATCTGTCAGTTTCTTATCTGCATCTCTGCAGACGGCGGATACCTTCGTCCTTCCCTGCAATTTGTGCCATGTCAAACTGAGCGACCTTGAGATTAACCACACATTCGGAGAGGGCGCCGATGATCATCCGGCAATTGAAGCGAATACTTCTGGTTGGTTGTGATTCGCGATGCAGAAGATTCCCGAGCGCAAACAGCAGGGATTCTGACTGGCCAGGCAATATCGGCAGTGTAAGACACCAACGCAACCTCGCATCAGCGGGAAACAAAACGCTTCAGCAAACGCCCCTCCAGGCCTTGCACAGGATGACATTGGCCTCTGTTTGCTGTCATCGCCTGTCAAGATGCTGGCAATGGGCATTTTCTCCATCTCCATCTACTCGATAAATTTCATCGGAGCTCTCTATCAATAATAGGGTTATTATACTTATCCTAAGTGAGAAAAAGTGTTGATGAAGGCGCTTTTGATGCGATAAATTCCTCTTGCATTCAAGTCCCGCAGGACTGTCAACCCCGCCTTCTCCATGTCACATCCGCTCGTGGCAGCTGTGTGGGAACAACTCGGTCGTCGTGATGTAGGCAACATTCTACGGGAGATCATCGGCGAACATGCGGCAGAGCTGGCTGTATTCCAGATGCAAGATGATGTCTCTCGAATCGAACCGCTTATACGACCTGTGCTTTGGATCAAGGCCATTTTCGACTTACAGCGAGCTTATCTGCAAGGCTTGACGAATGTGAACGATTGCCATCCTTACTTTTTGCCGTACCTCTTGCCTTCGGAAGCGGTTTTCTCAACCCTTATGTACTTGATCCGGGTCAAGTCAGACTTATTCCCGTCTAATACCCCGGCGCCTCCCGACTTTGTTCTGCATCGTCATTTCATTGCGCAAGTTCTGCTTGGCGGGGTCCGACTGCTCCTGTTGCGTGGTGACGCCATTCCACCCGATCTGAGATTCAACCTGGAGCGGGCGATGAGGGCAGCATGGCACCATCCCGATCTATCAAGTGCAGAAAGCTATCTGATCATGGATTTATTACCACGGGCGATAGATCAGATTGGTTCTCCAGAGCTGGCAAAGAAGCAGAGCGCTCTGCTGATCTCCAATAATACATCTCTTCCATCTTTCGCGTCAGGACTTGTTAGTCTCGCCATTCTCATTGCTGGTGATACTAGGCTGATTTGACGACAGTATCCCTTTTCAATAGCCCCCGAAACCCTTATGACAGATCTGTTGACGGGTATTGTCGCAAACAAGACGGACTATCTAACCTCGTTTTGTACTCTGTTCGATATCATAAGCGCCGCCGAGTTTGCGCTTATCCAGTGTCATGTTGATCGTCGCCGTATCTCACAAGAACAAGGATATTCCAATGCCGCGGCAAGCAAGGTGGAAGATGCATTTGCACAAGCTCAAGAGACGCGTAAAAAGCTAGTGAGGACTGTAATGGCAGCATTCGACGATGAGTTTTCGGCGCCACCTCTTCAGGTCCTCGCAACTCTCATATTGAGCCATAATGCTGAGGGACAACCGCCGCTACAAACCCGGCGCATCAGAGACAGCTGGACGCGCCTTCGACGCATTAGAGGCGTTCTGGAAGACTCGCTGGGGCTTCTTGTGAGATGGCTCATCAATCGGCGAGTTCAGATGTGGGACTGCAATGGGGAGCTGGAGTCGATCTCCCAGGATTACCAGCGTCATTTGACACAGTGGCTTCAGAACGCTTCGTTGCCGGATCCTGCGGCTCAGCCTCAGAGCCGGGACAAGCGGGCCAGCGTTCTGTACGCTGTTGACTGTCCTGCAGTTCACATGGTTCCCAAAGCCCTCCTCGAAGAGCAGTTGACCAGCCGCGACACACTCTATGAGGTATGATATTTCACGTTCCTCAGACGCCATTTACACCAGGCTATGCGAATGTGGACTCGCTAAATGAGTTTACCATTTCCTTCCCAATTAACTTTTTCACCAGCATTTGCAGGAGAACCCAGAGTTTCTCACGCTGAACATTTCTTGTCCGCTATGCCCTGGAGATATCCGAATTCAGCACGCTCGCATGATCAAACCGCTAGGACAAACTGGGTTGCAAGATGTATCCGAGTCAAACCGCAATAGACGGTATTCTATAGCAGATTCTGCTTCTAGAGATACGACATCGCAGTCAAGCTCGATCAGTCACACTACCAGCTTAGACCCTAATGAGATTCCCAGAAGTCCTGTTTCGCCCATAACACGCACCCTCGGCTTCTCTGATCTAATGACAAAGCATTCGAATACGTCTGTAACGGAGCTGATTAGTCCGCTTTCATCTCATGCCTCTTCTGATCAATTGCGCGAAAGACAGGGCACCCGGAGTCTTTCTAGGGAGCTCAAAAGCGTGAAGATACCATTCCCAAGCGGGGCGTCACTATTCAGGAAAGCCTCCACCAAGCAGAAGTTACCGCGACAGCCACGGTCCTGCTTTTCCGCGACAGGACGAACTCTGCTCCTATGGGGAGCGGGTACCAGCTGGGTCATGCGGTTTGAGCTTTCAAGCATGGAAGGGCAGAGGAGCAAGGGTCACAGATACGACGTGTCTGGGGTTCAATATGCTGCAGCGGGAGACAGACGTTGCGCTGTGATCGCCGCTGTTGGGGAGGTATCTATGTCTCAATTCTGCCTGTTGATTATGTTGACTCTTTTTTCGGTTTGCTAACATGTTTCTAGCACCTCGAGCTGCTAATATTCGACAGCACTGGTAGCGTTGCCGATGCGTACCTGACGATTGAGTCTGGACTCCAGAATCAGTCCATACCCTCTATATGTATGGCCATGTCACGTAACGACAGGTTTGTCGCCTTCACTATCAGGGAAGAGGTCCGAGTGTATGAGATCGGTGCAGGAGCTATACGGAGAGTTCCCTTGGGCGAGCACTTTGATCGATACCCGTTGCTTGGAGAAGAGCCGCCATTCGGAGCAGCAACTCCTTCAAAGGATGGACAATACGCCAACAATCAAACCAGACGAAAGGCAGTTATCGAGCGAAAGATTCAATTTTCCGTCGATGGGAAGCATCTTGTTGTAGCAACGCACCTGGGCGACCATTGTGCTTATGTTGATGTGTGGGGCTGGAATGCGGGACAATGGATAATCACGCCTGACAAGTCAAGGTCGTTCAAACTTCCATCGGTAAAGTGATATCACTTGGGCGAAGTCGCTGGTCTGGTGCTAATTTCTAAAGTGGGTGGCCAATGATGGAGACCTCACGTGTGTTTTCTACGACAGCTTCCATTTTGCCGTCATAATGACAGCATTTTTGGGAAGAGAGTCTCCGATGCTAGTCTCTCTTGCTGACCCGAACATCGTCAGCGATCCGCTCAGCGTCAGGATCGTTCATGCAGCACAATCGCCTTCAGGAACACGGTTCGCCATGGCAAATGGTGCCGGTGAGATCTATATGTGCGAGTGCAAGGCCAATACTGTCCTCACTCCATATCAACTAAAGAAAGCGTCCAGCAAGATAAGCATCGCTGCTTTCAAACCTGGGAATCTGACACTGTCCTTCCCACAGGAAAATGAAATCCTTGCCTTTTGGGCCAAGGATGGTAAATTATCACTCAGAGCAATCAGGTACATTGAGGGTGCCGAGGTAATTAACGATTTTGACCTGCGCCCGGACTTTGACCGTCTAGTTGTGGAACGGGTCCCAGCTGGGAATTTTCCAGCACAGCGAAGACAGAACTCATCGCTTTCAAATCAGTCAGCAGTGGAGATGGATGCAATGGCACCTATTCGAAGACCTGACATGGCGGAACTGCCAGGGATATAACAGTGTGTAAGTTGGGCGGTGCAGTCAACGCAAAGTGGTGGTAGTCTGAATTAGCCCATAGCTTTATAGGAACATATATTGATGCGCCAAAAATGTCGCAGAAGTTGCCCCCCCAACAGTATCAGATCAATGCCCTTGCAATTAGTTAGTGATAGAGCCGTCAAGGAACTCTGCTGTATGTATAGAGAAGGAGATGTTGACAGTCGCTCAAAGAGGAAAGTCGGGTGGTGACACGCGGAACAGACCTAGACTATACCACAAATGGCTATAAGGGGAGGACCTTTCCCGCAGCGCGAAATTCTCCGAATTCCGAAGATTGCTGAGTGGTGATCGACGTCACCACTAGCATATGATGAGCTACCTTAGCTGTGGAGGGTTGCTTCTGGACGACAGAGCACTGAACACTTAATGTCGGAGAGTCTAGAGCTCAAATTTTGACTTGTCATTCTAGGTGAGTGAACAAGTTAAAGGGATTACCTGCAAGTCTGGCCACCGAGTTATCAGCTTAGCATCAGACCATACCTCTCTAGATCAGAGCATGCGACACTCAATTGCCCCTCCCACTTCATTGGTGTAACTGGGCCTTTGGACTAATACTTGGCTTGTCCTTGTTCCTAAGGCATATATTCGGATAGTATTGCAAACTCGTGTCCTGTCCATTGCATTCTTAACGGCCGCCAAATCCTACCTGGAGCATTTATTAAGTTGCCGAGTCGTTTGCATGTAAACTGACTTTACGTTGGCATCTCGGCGTCGACGTCATCACTACATCCCCGGCACTCGCACACGACCTTTAGATTCCCGAGAAGCCGACGACACATGATACCTCGCCACATCACTCTTGCTCTCGATTGTCTTCTTCACTCTATCAACAATGTCGCAGCCTGCCTTCGCGTTCGATCCATCACGGCGGCCATCGCAGGCCGAGAACCAGACCGTACTCAAATCCGAGATCCCGCTGAAGGAACGATTCTTCCGTTACTTCCAACATGAGATTACCGGTATGTCTCCGTGGTATTGCCGTTTTGTGTCTGTTAGCAGAGTAATCTGACATCGAAGTACCGCCCTGTAGCTCTTCAAGAAGAGATGGACCGTCTGGCAGACACGTCCCTCATAGGAGGTGAACGGACGGATGCAACCGATCATTGCCTGGCTGGAATTGCAAGATTGTCTAATGAGGTTAAGGATGCAGCAAGCTATATCCCCACCTATGATCAACGTGTGTATGCAGAGGTAAGTCAATGACCGTCATAGCCTTGGTGTGTACCTGGTTGATAGTGTTGTCTTGTCAGGCCATCAAAGCGCTTCAGGACAAGCTTGCCGAGACACGCTCTGCGTTTGAGCCTCGCCCCAAATTTACCTTCAAGACAAAGAAGAATGCATCGGCTGTCTCGCTATCAGATGCGGCCGAACTAGTTGCCCAAGGCCACGGGGGTCTACCCGGCTACCGCTCCCCAGGAGCATCTTCGGTCGATTCCTCCGCTGGGCAAACGCCGAATTACCCATCTACACCTTTGTACGAACCAGATTTCCTTCAGTCACATCGGCCAGAAATCGCACCGACGTCGGTTCCCGCCTTTTCCTCTGGTATTAGTGAAACTGAATCGAAATCCAAAGGAGACTCCAATAAGGGTAAGGCTTTCGCGGCCACAGCTGTGTCCTCTGTCTCCGTAAACGATCATTATGGTCTCCATATTATGCTTCCTGCATCAGGCTCGACAGCGGCTGTACCTGCATCTATCACATCTTTGAACCATTGCGTCGTTGATATGTCCATACCGACTGCAAACGGCAAGCCGTATGCCAGTCTCACTGTCAAGGATGTCAACGAGAGCTTATTGATCTGTGGCCAAATTGACGGGCCAGCGCATATAACCGGTGTTAAAAATAGTGTGATTGTGGTGTCGTGTCGCCAATTCCGCATGCACAACTGTACTGGCGTGGACGTGTACCTGAGCAGCTCCAGCAATCCAATCATTGAAGATTGCACCAACGTCCGGTTTGGCAGAATCCCCAGAGCATATGTAAGTGATCTCTCTGCTAAAGACCATGTCAATACATATACTCATGTTCACAGGCTCTGGACCATGATCGCCCGGATAACGAAGACCGCTGGAGCCAAGTTGAGGACTTCAAATGGATCAAGCCGGAACCAAGCCCGAACTGGAGCTTGCTAAGTCCTGAGGAGTCGATTCCAGAAGAAGTGTGGGCTGAGATTGTGCCCGGTGGCCCTGGATGGTCACTCGAAGACATACTACGCGCAATCAACATTGTGAAAGATTAAATTTGTTTTCCTCTACGGTGCTACGGCGCATGGTTACTCATGCGATGCGAAGCATTTCCCGGAGAGCAATCGCCGTTGTTCAGTGTCCTTCAGCCCAATTCTACTTCGAAGCCGTGCCTTGGGTTCTTCGTGCTTATCAATGACTGGTGCGTCAAGTTTTTGACATACTTCGCAATGGACAATAGGCGTTATTTACTTTGAGTAGTATATGTCACTCGCAGTTAGCAGTTAATTTGATGAGTCATTCTATACAACTCTCGTTAAATCTGCTTGTTTCTCGAAATTCGGAACAGCCTCAGGCATCATCATGGCCTAAGCATGCCGATCTTGTCTCTCCAAAACAAAGTGACCCTTTGAATGCACCTTACCACTTTACTAGGCTGGATATAAACGTATGATTCAGCTTAGGGGTAATAAACGGCTATTCCTGCATAGCTATTATTCCCTACTAATCGATGACTGTAGAGAATGGCATACTTGGGCCTAATTTTCAAGGCATTCAAAGTATGTCGGTCATAAGATGTAAATGCGAGACGGCTGCCCCGCTGCTAGCCAATCAGCGCCAGGAGTGAAAGTGGAAATCTGATACCTTGAGTGGAGTTTCGCTCCGCAATTCAAGTTGGCTACTGAGCTACTACGTATCAATAACTGATCTAAGCTCCCGGCTATCTCAGGACCTCAATTATGTCACGATCATCCTCCAAGGGTTCTAATTAACCCGTATACCGCTCATTTCTGCCTGGAATTCTATGGATTGTGGCCTGAAGATCAATATCAATGTCTTTATGCTGGGCCATGAGAAGGACACTCTCTATCCCCGACATTCTCATCCTAGGGTCGGCTTAGCTCAAAATGCCCGCCGACGAACAAAGAAGTCCGGAGAATCATGAAGAATTCAGCCATGCACGCTCGACTACCACTACCAAACCAAGTAACTCTGCAGCTTCGGAAGATGTGTATGTCGAGGATATCTCTTCTCGCGATTCGGGATATGACGGCGATATTGAGGTGGTGAAACCGTATGCTATCGAGGAACCAGAGGACGAAGCTCCCAGTCACGTCCCTAGACTAGCCATTTCGCCCGCTCCAAATGATGCCGAATCGTGGCAAGGGGAATTGGTGGATTCAATGCAAGATCTGCACTGCGACTCAGATCATCCTGACTTGCGGTGCCGTCCGAGCCACAAGAGAGGAAGGAAGAGGAAAACACCCACCGTCGGCGCAGGCAATTCCGCGCCTGGTCGACGACAGGTCTATAAGGCAGCTCCCGATATCCAGTACGAAGGACCTAGTGCGAGTCCAAAGAGATTACGACGACGAAGCAGGCGCCCCAAAGAAGGCCAAAGAACTCCTCTCTCACCGCGCAGCTCGACTGAAACCGATTCGCCTGCAAGCCTTAGTCTGAGTCCTCAGTCCACGGATGCAAGCGGGGCAAGCCCGAGCACTAAACCTAACGTTAGTGATGAAATGGACATAGATTGATTTACTCATAAATAGCATACTATTCTAATGTGCTCTGAATCGGTGTGGTGTGGTGCTGGTCACTCAGTCGTCCATGAATCACGTGACGATACGCCGTTCTAATTGCAGGAACATTCTATGACGTCAGGCAGTTCTCATTGCGGTCAGTCACTCCGACTGGGGCGACTGATGTCGTAGTCGCTTCTCACCTTTGCTCTGCTTGTCGTACGCTTTAATCGCTCGCAAATCTGTCGCATTAATCGAGACATCTCGGATCCGCGCAATTGGCCCAATTCTCCTTCGCGAGCAAACACAATTCTCTCACAATGGCCACTAGAACATCGTCTCGCCAGGCCGCTCAGAAAGCGAAGGAGGCCATCACTAGCACCAGCGATATCAAGCCAAAGAAGACCGCCGGTGCAAAGCGCAAGGAGACCACCGAAAAGGGACCGGAACCAAAGAGGGGAAAGAAAGTTGATCGCGAGCCAGATCATGAGAAAGAAGAGAAGGAGCAGGAGCAGCAAAAGCACGAAGAGAAGGACCGGCCAGAAGAGAAAGAGCAGGTGAAGGAAGAAGCAGTCCCTGGACCTGGTGAAAAGGACGAGAAAGAGGAACAGGAAAAAGCCACAAGACGTATGGCCACATTGATGGAATTTCTTACGTCGTGTCACGCTAACAGCGACCAGGGCTCAGTGAACAGCCTGAAGAGCGAGCAGAGAAGCCAGAACAAGAGCCCAAAGAAGGTGCAAACGAAGAGGCTGCCCTAGAACCTCGTGATGAAGAGAAAGCCGCCAAAGGTAATAAAATCTGCGGAGATACTTGGCCAACGCTAACAGTAACTACCTGCAGAACCAGAAGAAAAGCCTGCTGAAGCGCCGGCAAAAGAAGGGGTTGAGGCCGGAGTCAGGAAGTCGCAAGAACGAGAAAACATTGTACCTTCCAACATTCTCGAAAAGGGAATCATATACTTCTTCTTCCGGCCTCGAGTTAATGTTGAGGATCCACACAGTGTGAAGGATGTTGCCCGAAGTTTCTTTGTTCTACGTCCCACTCCCCTGGGTGCAGTGCTGGACGCCAACCAAGGCACGGTTGCAGCTGACGCACGCTGTCGCTTGATGCTTCTGCCAAAGAAGAAATTTCCTACTTCGGGTAAAGAAAGAGACATGGGATTCGTGGAGAAGGCCGGAATATCTATGAAAGATCTCCACGATAGCTTTATGGTGGGTGAGAAATATGAAACATCGACTCGAGGAGAACGTGCCGTTCAAGAAGCGCGACCCTATGCGGAAGGGGTCTACGCCATAACCTCTGGAAAGCGTGCCTCTCACCTAGCCTACATTCTGACTATTCCGCAAGAACTGGGCTCCATTCAAGACGACTTTGGCCTTCATAGCCAAGGCAGTTTCATTGTCCAATCGAAGAACCCCAAATATCCTGGCCCCTCCAACGCACAGCTTCCCAAAGACCCTGAGTATCCTGAAAGGTGAGTCGATGATCGTGCTATGATGGTATGTAAACTAAGTGCTTTATCGCAGTGTCCGCCAGAAGTTCGGAGACTATAGATGGGTTCCCTTGGAGCCTGAGTTCATCGACTACCCCAATGCGCAGTTCCTCATGATCGGGGAGGCGACCGACGAGCTTGGAAAGGCAGCCACAGCAGAGCCTGGTAAGAAGGAGGCGCATGAAGAGCAGCCAGGCGAGGAGTTGGAAAAGCTGGAGCACGAGAACGAGGAGAGAATCGAATCCCTGAAAGGTCAATCCTCCAATCCTCCAATGCTCTGCTTCGCTAAGTTGCTAACCCGCACACAGGTGACGAAACTGTTTATGAAGACCTAGGACTGGATGCGAAGAACTATCCCAAGGTGCCAACTACCTGGAACGCGTAGAACCCGGCAACTGGTGTACAATAGGTGCTTCGAGATGAAGCTTCGGATTATGATTCCGGACATAACAGACAAGAACATTCAATGTAGTAATGCTGAACTTGATGTCATTTGTCGTTTTCAATGATAGTCCTGCTTTGAACATGTTCAATGGTGGAAATGAGCTTCCATCAACTGATACAAGCATGAGCTGCAGAAGATAGCAATCGAACGGCTCTACCTACGCCTCTCAACACACCAACGGCTGCATAGTTCACGCATCTGTTCAATATACAAACATTGAGCTACCTCCTAGTGTCCAGTGACGCTTATGCGTTGTGTTGCACAAGTGCTAGCAGAAAGAAATCCAAAACTGGAGCAGCTATGAGGAGACGCCCTTCGTCACAGCAATCGAATGGACCCCTCGAAAGTAATATATCGCATCTGGATTATTATACCAAGGATGTTAAGGAGCATCTAGACGCAGGGGGATCCAGTCCAGACATCCGTTCACGAATTTTACCCTGATATCTACTCAGTTCCTTAAAGGAGTAGAATATTATCTAGCTAATGCCGGGTGGGGGCCGGGTTTCCTGCAGCCAAGATGATCGGGCTTTTATACTCCGTATCAGAGAGCGAATGGGATCGACGATCTTCACCACGTTCAACGCAAGCTGCCAGAACCTCGATCTTCCTGCGAGTAATTTCCCTGCTAACACCACGAGGAACGGGTGTCTAGATAGATACCGCTAAGCGATTCCATCAGGATTATCGTCGTTCATTCGACGGTGATACATAATGCAAGGCACCTTCCGCAGCGTTTGCTCTGATTGGGACGCTCCTCGCGTACCAAGGTCAACCATGAAGAGTATAAAATTGACTGCTTTCTCCTCCCTAGTCGAGGAATGTCAAGAGATAATTCTAATTCGCAGCCAGCATCATGAGATTGAACCCATTGGTGAGTGCGCTGCCATTGACAGCCGCCGCCACAGCTGGCGCTCTTACTAGGCACAACTCGTGCAGTGTCGTGAATCAGACAACCTGTGGCGGCACAAGCTACGAGTATACTGGGCTTGCGGGATACGGATTCATTCCGTCCAATGCGGTTGATAAGTACGGTGATACGTTAGGAGGCATTGGCAGCGCTATTGCTATCGATCAAGACTCCTGGCGCAAGACAGGCCGTGACTCGTACTCTGGCATCATCTACTGCTTGCCTGATCGTGGCTGGTAAGTTACGCATATAGCATGGGCCATGGAAGCCTTGAATTGACCTGATATGCTTCGGTTACAGGAACACCAACGGAACGCTCAATTTCCAGTCGCGTATCCACAAGCTGGCCATCTCTTTCAAGCTGGCACCAGGTGCATCTGCTGAGAATCCATCGAAGCCGAATCTGCAGCTGAAGTACCTCGACACCATTCTTCTGACCGGTCCTGATGGCGAGCCCACTACAGGCCTTGATGCAGACGCCACGGGCTCTGCCTCGTACCGCGGCTTTCCGCCTCTCCCTGCAGCCACATATATCGGTGATGGCTTCGGCGGCGCAGGCCAGGGAGGAAAGAGGATCACAATCGACGCCGAGGGTCTTGTACTTGACAAGGAGGGCTTCTTCTGGATCTCTGACGAGTACGGTCCCTACGTGTATAAGTTCAACAAGCACGGCAAGATGGTGC